TATTATTATTATTATCTGACATCCTAGGCAAGCCAGCGACACCTGTGCAGGTTATAATGGGACAGTAAGAGTTGGAACGAACCCACAGCGAGAAACATAAGTCTTTTTCTGGCCGTGTTGCCACATCCTCTAAATACAGTCGTGATACCATTACAAGTCTTTAAAGAAATTAGATTTTTTTGAGATACAATACAAAGTGACATTTACACGGAGCCTTTCATGTCGGGAGGACGTCCCAAGGCGCTGGACAGTCAAGGATTTGGACCTGAGCTGGGAGTCGGGGAGTCGGGATCAGTGGTGGGGGGGGGGGGGCGTGAATGGTGGAAGGCGGGGAGGGTTAGGAGGGTGGCTACTGGTCACCCTGATGGTGACCAAAAGGTTAGGTTAAAGGCATAGCAGGATCTCTCCCTATCTCCGACCAGGAATGTCCTCTCTGTCGCGTTCTCTCTCATTGTTGTCCCACCTCCGCCACATTGCCCGCCTTGGTCCAAACCTCACAGCCGATGCAGCTGAAACGGCCATCCACGCCTTCGTCACTTCCCGGCTGGACTACTCCAACGCCCTCCTCGCTGGTCTCCCCAACTCCACCATAGGCCAAAAAGCACTCAGTGACACTAACCCTTACTCACTCCACCCCCCCGCCAACCCCACCACCACCAATGGCTAACTCTCACGTTATCAGCCACCCTAAAGACCCCACGCCGTTCCTGCTCACTTTCCACAAAGTGACTGTGTGTTGCGGTATCACGGGAGTGGGGGGTTGGTGCGGGAGGGGGGGGGAGGGGGGGGAACAGCTGGAAACAGCTGACCTCAAAACATCTGCCAGAATTCCCAAAGAGGAAGTGAGAGCATCGACAAGACTGAAGATTACCCACATACCCTCCCCTTCCCCCAACCCCTGTAGTGATCAGTGATCAGAGCGCTCACCTCGCAAACAAGAGGACCTGGGTTTGATTCCCACCCGGGCAGGCAGGGAGAAACGCTGGGCACGTTTCCTTACCCCACGCACACACACACACACTCACACACGTGCCCCCGTTTACCTAACAGTAAGTAATAATAATAACAGTAAAAATAGGAACCCGGTGGTTAATCGATTGGCGGATCGCTTTTCCGGGCAGTAATAGTTAATAAGTAAAAGAAAATAATATAATAATAAGTCGGTCGCACCGTGTTTCGCCCACAAAATATACAGTCGTTTCACTTTACAGTATGTGCTGTGAAGCACTTTGAGACGTCTCGGAGACGTGATAAGCCACTGTATCAAATGCGAGGATTATTATAACCCCCTTCTCTCCCTTCATCCCACACCCCCTTCTCTCCCCTCCTGCAACCGCAATCGCTGCTCTCTCTCTTCCTCCAACCCCCCCCACCCTCTCTGTTTCCCCCCAACCCCCTTCTCTCTCTCCCCTCTCCCCCCCCCCCAAGTAAGGCTTCACTACCACAACATTGCTTCATGCCACACACCTCACTGATAAAGGCACGTCCCATCCAAGCGCTTCAAGGTGCTCAGTCTTAAGTGATTGCAGTCTTGTGTAGTGACTGTTTTTTTGGGGGTGGCCTTATTTTATGTGCATGCTGGGGTGGATGCGGCAGTGGGGTGGTGGTGGTGGTGGTGGAGGGGGAGTGTTAAACCCAACTCCACATGTTGGAGTCTGTTAGAGGTTAGCTCTGATTTGAATACAATGGGAACGAAGACGGGAAGGGGGTGGGGGGGGGGGGGTGTGGGGGGAAGAGGAGAGAGAGGAACAGGAAGCTACTACCATGGTTAGCAAAATAGACACATGCCTCTGGATACGGAGGTACACACACACAAGCAGATAGGAACCACAGAGCTCAACCGAGCCTGAGAGAACGAAAGAGCGTGCGTGTGTGAAGAGTGAACGAGTGTGTGTGTGTGTGTGGAGTGGTGGGGGGGGGGGAGGGAAGAGTGGGGGGAATGGTGACGAGACACAAGCTGCTTTTAGCTTGTCCCCGTGGAATCGAGATAACATATCGCTCCGGACCCAAGAACAAGTTGCACTTAAAAAGACAGCACCTTCCATTCGCCTCAAAGCACATTAGAGAGATAGGGGAGCTGGAGGGAGGAGTGGGGGGCGGGGGAGGAGGTGTGTGGGGGGGGGGGGGTAGAGAGAGAGGTTCGACACTCATTGACCAGAGACACGGATTTGCCAAGAAGGGATTTTTGGGAGAGAGAGAGAGAGAGAGAGAATCCCTGGCTGTGGAAGCATCCTCTCTAATCCTTGCGTTTGACGCAGCGCCTTATCACGTCGTTGAGACGTCTCAAGCGTAGAGGCTTTGTAAAGCGCAGTGACGGTGTATTTCGCGGGAGAAACACGGCAGCCACATTGGGGCAGCGTCCCACGAACAGCCGTGGACTGAGCGACCAATTATTTGGGTGAGGCGGGTGAAGGCGCGGTCGAAGAGGAAGGTCGTTGGACGGACGGGACTTGAAGGACACACGCATTAATCAGACTCACATCGCGCTCGTCGCCAAGAGAAAAATAAATGAGGGACGGAGTTAAGATTTGAAGTCTGGTGGCGCTTGAACGCGGATAAAATGGCTTTGAATGTTGTGCCGGATGGAGAGGGCAGCAGTAAATCAGGAGGGCAAACGGTCTGGTTTTTCAGGTTCACTGATTAGCAACAGAGTCTCTGGTGAAATCCACAGGTTTGCCTTTCCTTAAGACACTCCCCACTCACTCACCTGAGCTGGATCAACGCTGAGCACAGGTGAGAGGGAGGGAGGGAGAGAGAGCGAGAGAGAGAGAGAAGGGGAGAGAAAGGAAAGGGAGAGAGTGGGGAAGGGAGAGGGGGAAGAGGGGAGGGGGGAGAAGAGAGAGAGGGGGTGGGGGAGGGACAGAGAGTGTAGGGGAGGGAGAGGAGGGGAGGGAGGGAGTGGGGAAGGGAGGCAGAGAAAGAGGGAGGCAGAGAGAGAGGGGGAGTGAGAAAGAGGGGGAGGCGGAAGAGGGAGGGAGGGAAAGAGTGAGAGAGAGAGAGACAGACTGGGAGATTGAGAGAAGGGAAAGAGGAAGGGGGGGGAATAGAGAGGGAGGGAGGGAGGGAGGCACTCAGACAGCCTTTTTTTTAAAAAAAATTAAATTCCTGAACACAAGAACTGGCTGCTGCTTTCGCTCACACAACACACAGTCACTACACTTGGCAGGAAAATCTTGAAAGAGTTTCGAGACTTCCCCACGCAACGCGCCCACAAAATATACAGTCGCTCCACTTTACAGTGCAGCCTGTGAAGCGCTTTGAGGCGTCTCAACGACGCAATAAGGCGCTATACCAAATGGAAGGACTATTATTATTATAATAATAACAATAATAAATAAGCTCTGATCCGCACAAAGCTTTTTACAAATGCAAGCTGTATTTATGGAACACAGTCTTTCCCCCCTCTCTCTCTCTCTCTCTCTACCCCCAACATCCCCCACCCCCCAATCCACCGCATTAAAAGGTACATTAATCCCTTACGGTATGTCGGTAACACTTTAGGTATTCACTAGAATATCCCACAGCAAACTGCCCCCCTCCTCCTCCCCCCCCAGAAGGCAAAATGTTTCACTGCAATGCAGAGAGCGAGTCTGGAAAAGATCTCTTGTCTCTATGTCTGTGTGTTTCTCTCTCTCCGACACACTCTCACACACACACACACAATCTCGCTGCAGGATTTCAATTAAGAATTCTCTCCCCCTCGCCCCGACGCACACGCACACCACACACACACACGGAATTACAGATTTGCCTGATATTTTAATAAAGTGATTACCAGTCAATGTTTAGGAGGGAGCGCGGGAGTGAGGGTAAGAGATTGAGGATGGGAGTGCGGAGGGGAGGGGGGGGGGTAGGAGGGTATGAGATTGAGGGGTTAAGAGAACGAGGGTAGGAAAGTGGGGGTGTAAGAGATTGAGAATGGGAGTGCGGAGGGAGGGGGGGGGTAGGAGGGTATGAGATTGAGGGGTTAAGAGAATGAGGGTAGGAGAGTGGGGGTGTAAGTGATTGAGGACGGGAGTGCGGAGGGAGGGGGGGGTTAGGAGGGTATGAGCTTGAGGGTGAGGGGTTAAGAGAATGAGGGTAGGAGAGTGGGGGTGTAAGTGATTGAGGATAGGAGGGGAGGGGGTAAGAGTTTGAGGAGTGGGGTGGGGGGGAGAGAGAGAGAGGGTAAGAGAATGAGGATGGGAGGGAAAGAAAGTGAGGAGGGGGTGATTACAAGCTCTCCCCACCCCCCCACCCCCCCACACACACACACACCAAACAGACCAAAGTGTTAACACATTCATGGCATCGCCAGAGAGATCAAGGGATCAGATTTAACAGTCTCTCTCTTTCTTTATTTCTTTCTCTCTCTCTTTCTCTCTCTGGGAAACTCGATCTCTTTCTCTCTCTCTCTCTCTCTCTCTCACACATCCACACAAAACGCTTTAGTGCTTAAGCAACCCAGACACTGATTTTTTCCCCCTCCCCTCCACCCCCACATAAAAATATATATATATACATATACACACGTTAAAAAAAATTCGCACCTTTTCCAAAGATCTGCTATCCTTGAGCCATAATTAAAAAGATATATATTTAGATTTTAAAAAAGGGGATAAAGAAACTACAAAGTGATTCCCCCCACACACACACCCCCCCCACCCCACCATCTCTCTCTCCCTCTCCCCCCCTCCCCTTCTCTCTCTCCCTCTCCCCCTCCTCCCCTTCTCTCTCCCCCCCCACTCCCCACTTCGACACAATTAAGGGAAACTTTACACACACATATATATATATACACATACAAGTGAAAAAAAAGATAAGCAATTTCCCTCCCTCCACCCCCTCCCTTTCTCTTTCTCCCACAGGGGTGAGAGGAGAGGAGAGAAAGAGAAAGAGAGAGAGAAAGGAGAGAAAGAAAGAGGGAGAGAGAGGGAGAGAGAGAGAGAGAGAGACAGAGAGAGGAATAGAAATACAATCTTTTGCTTATTCCCTAAAAGATGTGTTTGGTCAGCACTCACCCACAGCTCAGCCCCCCAGTCCATCATACACACTGGGTGGGGGAGTTGATCTCTGTCCACACAAGCCTCTGGATTTGGGGACAGTGCAGGCAACTTTTATGTGTTTCTTCCTCCCTCTTCCCCCTTTTCCTGGTTCTTCTTTTTCCTGCTGGAGAGAGAGAGAGAGAGAGAGAGAGAAAGAGAGAGAAAAAAAAAGAGGGGGAGTCTGGTCTGAATGCAATGAGTTCCTTTTGCTTTCCTTTCCGCCTTGCCTTCGCCTTGCCCGCTCCTCTCTCTCAGCCTTTCACCATGTCTGAGCCTTGTTAACAATCTCAGCCCCCACCACCCCCCCCCCCCCCCCAACCACCCCCCCCACTCCCTTGCACACACACGACGTCACCGCTATAATCCGCCCTACGAAAGAGGAGGGCCCCCTACGCCTCCCCATGGCCGAGGGAAGTACTAGAACAGCCACGGTCATTATTACGAATCCTTGCATTTGACATCGCGTCTCGTCCGGTCTTCGAGGCGCCTCGAAGCGCTTCGCTGGATAAAGCGCATCGACTGCTGTTGTTCTGCGGGCGAAAAGCGGCGGCCCCACAAACAGCCGTGGATTAAGGGACCAAATCACGATTATTTTTATTTGGGGGGGGGGAAAAGGATTATTACCTCCATAAAAGCGGACGGTCAGGGATCCGCACCCGAGCTGGTGGTTGGGATCAGGAGGGGTGGAGGGCGGGAGGGGGAGGGGGGTAGGAAGGTGACCGAAGGCACAGTCGAAGAGGAGGGTCTTGAGACAGGTCTTGGAAGGAGGCGAGGGGAGGGAGGTGGCGAGGCGGAGGGACTGTGGGACGGAGCTCCAGAGGGTGGGGGCAGAGAGGCTGAAATGGCGTGGCGGGCGAGGTGGGGGACGTGAAGCAGGGCGGAGCGTGCGCGCTCGCGTGCGTGCGTGTGCGTGCGCGTGTGTGTATGGGGGGGGTAAGGAAACATGCCCAACGTTTCGCCCCCACCCGGGAATCGAACCCGGGTCCCTCTCGCTCGCGGGGCGAGCGCTCCAACCGCTGAGCTAAGGAGCGAAGGGAACAACCTTAGGAGACACGCGAGCGCGCGCACGTTGGTTTGTTTGAATGACAAATCCATTGATACAAACTGGAATTATTTATTTCAAACACGTACAAATGTTAAACCCCCCCCACCCCCCACCCCCCCCCCCCCAAAAAACTAATCGAGGCATCAAATGGTGTGACCCATGTGCCACCCAGTGGTGCACCACAGCGCTGCACGTCCTCGCGACAACACGATGCCTTTCGGTGTTCACGATTGCCCTCCAGGCGACGTCGCCCCGGCTAAGACGTCAAGTTAAAAGAACCCCCTTTTTTTTTTCACTCCCCCCCCCCACCCACCCACCCACGGCTGAGGATTCTTCCGAGACTTTTCTTTTCTTCCAGACTTTAATGCCCACCGGGTCACTGGCGTTCCTCTGCCCAGCGCTCTCTCGCTCTCCTCTCTCTCTCTCTCTTTCTCCCTTGGTTTTCCTTCTTCTTCCCGCGCTCGAGTCTTTGTTTCTTCCTCTGTCTCTGAGATACCTTCCCCCCCCCCCCACTCACCCCCTTCCACCTCCTGCCCTTCATTTCCTTTCACTGCCTTGTCTTTCCGCCCCCCACCCCGACCCCAAACCCCCCCCACACCACGTCCACCATCACCAACAACCAATTACGTTCACAGTAATCCTCGCGTTTCATACAGAGCCTTTTCACGTCTTCGAGACGTCTCAAAGCACTTCACAGAATATACTGTAAAGTGTAGTGACTGTATATTTTGTGGGCCAAGCGGTGCTTTTCACGTCAGGAGGACGTCCCACGATGCTGGTCAAGGATCCATACCCTCCTTCATGTACCCTCCACTCATTCCACCCCCCACCTCCAGCCGCCCCGGATCTCTCCCAAATTCTATACGCCTTTTTCTTCCCCAACTCTTCAAAACCCAACCTTCGGCTCATGACAGGGATTCACTTCCAGCTGCCCATTCTCCATGTGCCACTCTTCACCTGTGAGCCACTGAGTGTCGCTAGATGGTGTGGCATGTAAAAGGTGGGATGGGGGGGGGGTGGCATCATTGCCCCTTGATGGGGTAGATTCGAGACCTGGTCCCCTTTAATCCTGTCCAAAAAACAGCCCGAATAAAATTTGTCAACGTTTCAAACGAAATTTGTTTGCTTGCGGCACGTAAAATCTTCTCATCCGTGGGGGCGAGTGTCTTAAGTCGGGAAGACTGGCCTACTCCATCTGGTATGTCCGAACGCACAATGATCTCTCTCCATCTCTTGAAGCTTGGAGACGTCTTCAGTCAGTGAAGCCTTGTGTTGGGATGGGGGAGAGGTGGGGAAGAGCAAGGAGTGACGTTTTGGTCGGGTTGAGGTTGGGGGGGTGTGCTCACATCTCTTCCTCCTCCTCCTCCTCGCACAGCGAGGAACCCGTTGTGCTAGTGCCCCCAGCTGCCAGCTGTGCCTGTTGCGCGGCTTGTTGCATCTGGAGCCACTCCTGCTGCACCATCTCCGCCTGCTGTTCCCGTGCCTGCAAGAGGGATGCGGTGGGGTGCGGGGTAGGGGAGGGAGGTCAGGGCGGGCAGGGGAAGTGTGAGTGACAGAAAGACAGAGTGTGTGTGTGAGATAGTGTGTATGTGTGTGTGTGAGAAAGTGTGTGTGTGTGGGGGGGGGGTGGGGGGAAACAGTAGGAGGTCAGGGCGGGCAGGGGAGTTGTGTGTGTGGGCAGAATCCACTGATCCCACAATCACAGACCGTTCCTCTATACAGCGCCTTATCACGTCGTTGAGACATCTCAAAGCGCTTCACAGAAAATACTGTCAAGTGGATTGACTGTGCATTTTGTGGGAGGGAGAAACGGAAGAAATTTGAGTGACCAAATTATTATTTGTTTATCGGTGGGATTCTTATTCCTGGGAAAAGCGATCCGCTAATCGACAAACCACTGGGTTCCTACTTGCCGCTCGGTAAACAGAGGCGTGTGTAAGGAAACTTGCCTGAGGTTTTGTCCTCTCGCTTACTTGCGAGGAAAATGTACTAACTACTCTGCTACGAGACTCCACAAGTCTAAGTGTCTATTGTAACGAAGCAAACAGAAGCAAGGGACAGCCTTACCTTTGCAAAGAGTTCTTGTTGCTGCCGGAGAAGCTCTTCCTCCGGTATTCCCTTGTTCTCTAGCCGCGAGCGGGCCTTTCTGCGTTCCAAAGCCACCGTCTTGCACTCTCGCACAACCTCCTTCACCTCAGTGATGTACGATCCGAAACCCAGGCTCTCCAAAGCTGCAATGAAAAAGATGGCTTCAGCAATGGCACTGGACAAAACAATATCTTGGGAGGATTTATATTTATATTTACAGTATAGTTTTTATACCGTACCTTGCATGATATGCTGGGGTGAAACAGTCTTTTTATCCGACTTGTTGCAGATCTCGTTTGCCTCTGAGGCTATTAAGTGGATGAATTCGGTGCAACAGCTCACCACCATTTCCCTGGCGTCGTTTGCCACTCTGACACTCGGCAGAATCTCCTTGATAATCTTGTTGATGGCGGCTCGTGGAATAGTCAGGTCATCCTCATTGTTACCTGACGTCGTGGCCATGCTCTAGTCTGGAGGTCAGTCATAGGATTAGAGTGTGGCGTCCTGTAGCTCAGTGGTTAGAGCGCTCGCCTCGCGAGGAAGAGGACCCGGGTTCAATTTCCGACCGGGCAGGGCGAAACCTTAGGCAAGTTTCCGTACTCCACACACACGTCTCTGTTTTACCTGGCAGTGAGCAGGAACCCGGTTATTAGTCAATTGATGGATCACTTGCTTACTATTGATCCCTTCAAAAAAAATGTAAATAATTTGGTCACTCAATCCACTGTGTGAGACACGGCTGTGCGTGATTGACTGCCATGTTTTACCCGGCCACAAAATACAACCTCTGCACGTCACAGTATATTCTGTGAAGCGCTTTGAGACGTCATGCCAACGTGATAAGGTGCTAGAATTATTATTATTTATATGAACTTGCAGTCCTGGGGGGGGGGGGGGGGGCAGGGGGGAAAGTAGGAGGGAGGTCAGGTAAATAATAAAACATTAAAGCATAAAACATTCAATAGAAAATATAAGATAATATGATACAATAACCTCAATAATGCATCTGTACCAATTTGGGTAACTAAATTGTCATATATGCTGAGTAGAACAATCCAACCGAACACCTGGCTCTTAATTGTGCTTGAGAGTATGCCACACTTATTGTGCATTTGATCTCAGGTAAGGTGATTACAACACAGAACAATGAACGAGGGAGAGGCCAGAAGGGAGCTGGGTGGGTGGGGAGCGTAAACACCAGCCGAATTGGCCCGTTTCCAGGCTGGGAACTAACACTCCTTGCGTCCCACACGTCACTCGCAACGTCGAGAAGCTTCACAGAGAGATGCGGTCAGGTGGTCGCGGTGGAGGCGACGACTGGTCTTTCATGAAGGTGAGGGAGGGGGGGGGGGGGGGAAATGTCCCCCCGAACAGAGTACAGACAGATTATCTTGGTATGAATGTCTCAGCCAAAGGAAGGCATCTCAGACAATCCCACCTCCCCACCCGACTGTCAGCCCAGACTGTGTGAGCTCCATATGAGGGTATGACCGTTGTCGCGAGACTCGCCAGAATTCAATGGCTGCTGCCGCGACTACGACCCCCCTCCCTCCAAACCACGAACAGTCACCCTTCTCTCTACCCCCTTGTGCCCCTCTCCTTCACGCACTCACTCCCTTACCCCTCATCACTCACTCTCTCCCGTCTCACTCCACCCCCACCCCCCCCTTCCCCTCACACTCCTCTCTCCCTCTTGACTCCTCCCCACCCTCAGTCTCCCTTGTTCCTCCATGGTACCCCCGACCTCTCCGACTTCCTAACCCTATATCAGCTTGTCCGCTCCCTCCGCTTGGCGGACAGGGGCTTGCTTCAGGTCCCCTGCGCTTCCCAGCCCACTGTTGGTGGTCAGGCATTCAGCATCTCTGGAACTCTATCCCACAATCCCTCCACCTCACCCCATCTCTTGCCTCCTTCAAGTACCATCTAAAGACCTTCCTCTTCGTCGACCGTACCTTTGGCCACCTTCACACCCCCAACCACCCCTCCTGACCCCAACTCGGGTCTAAAAACCCTCGACTGTCCAGCGCCCTGGCAAGTCTTTCTGATGGGCGGGCACTATACAAGTGTGGCTCCCATACAGCACCCTCAACAAGAGCTGTTGCCCCTCTCTCCCTCACACACTCACTCCCTCCCTCCATCTCTCTCCCTCACGCACTCCCTCCCTCACACTCTCCCTCCCTCCATCTCTCTCCCTCGCACACTCCCTCCCTCCCTCCATCTCTCTCCCTCCCTCCCTCACACACACTCCCTCCATCTATCTCCCTCACGCACTCCTTCCCTCCATCCATCTCTCCCTCACTCTCCCTCACAAACTCTCCCTCCCTCCCTCCCTCACACACTCCCTCCCTCTACCTCTCCCTCACACTCACTCCCTCCATCGCTCCCTCCCTCACTCATTCCCTCCATCTCTCCCTCACACACTCACTCCCTCCCTCCATCGCTCCCTCCCTCACACACTCCCTCCCTCCATCTCTCCCCCACACACTCACCCCCTCCCTCCATCTCTCCCTCACACTCACTCACTCCCTCCATCTCTCCCTCACACACTCTCTCCCTCACACACTCCCTCCCTCCCTCTCTCCCTCACACACTCACTCCCTCCCTCCATCTCTCCCTCACACACTCACTCCCTCCCGCCATCTCTTTCGCTCTGTACCATTTCTCTCGCGCCCGACAGCCGGAAGTGACGCCCGCACCCACTTCCGTTTCCAGGGGCAACCGTTCCCTGTCCCCCGCTTTTCTCTCTTCCTGGGGTTCTCCAGCTCCCCCCCCCCGCCCACCCTCATCTTTTCTCCCCTTCCTCCCAATCCACCTTCTCTCCCACCCGACCCCCTTATCCCGGCCACATCGACCCGTTCCTCTCTTTGGGGGACTATCAGCCGGTCGGTCGACGCCATTCCCGCGGAGCATTCTGGGACTTGTAGTTCCTCCCGCCCAAAACCGCGGAGCATTCTGGGACTTGTAGCCCCCCCCTCCCTTCCAATCACTAAACACTTGATAGTTTGTCTGGACATTTCCCTTCTTTAAAGGCACTTCTTCTTCTTCTTATAATAATAATTATAATAATAATGATCCTTGCATTTGATACAGCGCCTTATCTCGTCTCAAAGCAGAGTGACTGTGCGTCTCGTGGGCCCCTCCGATTGCGCCCGGCGACATCCCGCAAACAGTCACGCATTGAGCGACCAAATTATTCTTTTTTTTTTGAGGGATTATTATGACGCCCGGAAAAGCGATCCGGGCTGCGTTCCCGCTTTGCTGCCGGTAAACAGAGGCGCGTGTGTGTGCGCGTGGAGTAAGGAAACTTGCTCTAAGGTATTATCCTGACCCGCTCGCGAGACCAGTGCTTTTAACCTATCCCTCTCTCTCTCTCTCTATCTATCCATCTATCTATCTCTCTCTCTCTCTCTCTCTTTCCATCTATCTATATCTCTCTTTCTACCTATCCCTCCCTCTCTATCTATCCCTCTCTCTCTCTATCTATCCCTCCCTCTCTATCTATCCCTCCCTCTCTATCTATCCCTCTCTCTTTCTATGTATCCCTCTCTCTCTATCTATCCCTCCCTCTATCTATCCCTCTCTCTCTATCTATCCCTCTCTATCCCTCTCTCTATCTATCCCTCTCTCTCTATCTATCCCTCTCTCTCTATCTATCCCTCTCTCTCTATCTATCCCTCTCTCTATCTATCCCTCTCTCTCTATCTATCCCTCCCTCTCTATCTATCCCTCTCTATTTCTATCTATCCCTCTCTATTTCTATCTATCCCTCTCTCTATCTATCCCTCTCTCTATCTATCCCTCCCTCTCTATCTATCCCTCTCTCTATCTATCCCTCTCTCTTTCTATCTATCCCTCTCTCTCTATCTATCTCTCTATCTATCCCTCCCTCTCTATCTATCCCTCCCTCTCTATCTATCCCTCTCTCTCTATCTATCCCTCTCTCTCTATCTATCCCTCTCTCTATCTATCCCTCTCTCTATCTATCCCTCTCTCTATCTATCCCTCTCTCTCTATCTATCCCTCTCTCTCTACCTATCCCTCTCTCTCTATCTATCCCTCTCTTTCTATATCTCTCTCTTTCTGTCTATCCCTCTATCTATCGCTCTCTTTCTCTCTCTCCCCCCCTCCCTCTCTCCATCTCTCTCACTGTCTGTCAGTGGGTGGTGTGTGTGTGTGGGGGGGGGGGAGGGGGCGGGACCGGAAGTGGTCACCGCGCGCGGTGGGCACAGCGACTTCCGGCGGTCACGTGGCCGGCGGCGGGAGTGAAAATTTAAACCCGACCCCCAAAAAAAAGAGGAGAGAAAGAGAGAGAAAGAGAGAGAAGGAAAGAAAGAAAGAAAGGAAAGAAAGAGCTCGGGTTTGGAAGAGAGAAGAAGAAGAGTGAGAGAGAGAGAGAGAGAGAGGGAGAGGAGAGAGGCCGCGGCCCTGACACTCTGACACTGACCGGGATCCCGGGCCTGGGCCGCGGGGCCGAAGCCGGGGCCTAGAGTGCGAGGCTGAGGTAAGTCGGGGGCGAGGGGGGGAGAGGGCTACGGCTGCGATCGGGGGCCGCGGGTTGTGTTCGGGCCCAGGCCCCGCCCTGCACCACCACCACCACCATCACCACCACCGGCGGCTCCTGCAGCAGCGATCGCCGGGCCCCGGCGGCCACTACTCTCTATGTCTCCCCGAGTGGAAGAAGGGGGAGGGGGAGGGGGTGGGGGAAGAGGCCCTGAGAGAGAGAGAGAGAGAGAGAGGGACGGAGCCACACGGGCCCGCGTCCCAGCCGAGAGGCCTGGGTCTGGGAGGGGTGGCGGGAGAGGCCTGGGGCGGGGAAGGCCTAGAGAGGGGGGCGGGGGGTGGAGAGAGGGAGGGAGAGAGGCCTGTGATCAGCGCAGCAACTTGGCCCTGAGGGAGGGAGGGAAGGAGGGAGGGAGGGAGAGGCCGGACCTCAAGGGAGAGAGAGAGAGGCCTGTGACCAGCCCGGCGGCCTGTGCCCTGAGAGAGGGAGGGAGGGAGGGAGGGGGAGGCCTGTCCGTAGCCCAGAGCGGCCTGTGATTCCCGAGGGCAGAGCCTGAGCCCGAAGCTCCTGCGAGGGAGGGAGGGAGAGAGAGAGGGAGAGAGAGGCCTGTGACCAGCCCGGCGGCCTGTGCCCTGTGGTGAGGGAGGGAGGGAGGGAGGGCCTGACACGGCCCCCGTGGCTCCGCCACACGTGGTGACTTCGCTGCTCATGTCCTCTCACGTTTTTGGACGAGAAAGGTCTTTATTTTTTATTTATTTATGTATTTTTCACCCCCTCTCCCCCCGAAAAAAAAGGCTTCACTGATCATTCCCCTTTAATCGCACGCGTTGGCGCCTCTTATCCACCCAAATGGCGCACGTGTTTTTTGTGTTGGAGCACAGCTTTAGGTTCAGTCAATATACACACACACACATATATATATACACACGTAAATATATGAGAAGAAAAACTGTTTCAGCTCCTGTGGAAAGAGCAGAGCCAATTCCCCCCCTCCCCTTCCCCGGGTTATATCCCCAGAGTTTCCTCCACACTGTTCCATCTCACATTCCCGAGCGGGTGGGCAATCCGATGGAGGACAATCAACAACATATAGATGCTACCCCCCCGCCCCCCCACCGCCCCCCTACACGAACGTGGGGTTGCATATCCACGGCTGCTCGTGGGGCACCGCTGCCGCGTTTCGCCCCCAAAATATATGTGCACTTCGCCGTGTTTTTCTGTGAAGCGTCTTTGAGACGGCTTGGAGATGTGAGACGAGGCGCTGTATCAAATGCGAGGATTATTTTATATGTATATATATATAGTTATATGTTTATTTTATATATTTTTTGAATCTGACAGTTTAATACACAGTTAATTCACTTTACAGTGGGTTCTGTGAAGCGCTTTGGGACGTCCTCCCGACGTGAAAAGCGCTATATCAAATGCAAGGATTATTATTATTATTATTTTCTTCTCTAACCCTCCTGCGCTAGTAGGTTTCTTGACTGGGTGGCATGCCACTTGCGCTTGATAGATAACCCGCGGAGGTGTCTCCTAGTGATTTAATGTTTAATGCTTTCTGATTCCAGGGAAGTGTTTGCGATGGAGTGGCAACCTGACGAACAGGGACTCCAGCAAGTGCTTCAACTGCTCAAAGACTCTCAGTCGCCAGACACAGCAACACAGCGTGCGGTACAGCAAGTATCCTTTGCCTTGCGGAACGGGAATCCTGCTCTGGAATAGCTCCAGCAGTTGTGAATGTTGACCGTTTGGTTCTGGTGTTGGAAGTCAGTCTCTCTTGAGTATCAGTTATCTAATTATGAATCAGTTATCTTGGGTTTGTTTAAAAACAAAGCTGGAATCTGGACTTGGGTTTATAATAATCCTTCCATTTGATAAAGTGCCTCACCACGTCTTCGAGAATATACTGTAAAGTGAATTGACTATATATTTTGTGTGCAAAACGCAGCAGCCAATTGTGCACAGCAACATTCCCACAAACAGAGTGAGTGACCAAGTTATTATTAATTTTTTTTGGAGGGATTATTGTCCCCGGAAAAGCGATCACCAATTGACTAACAACCGGGGTCCTACTTACTGTTAGGTAAACAGAACTTGTGGAATTATTATTATTATTATATTATAATAAGGAAACTTGCCCGACGTTTCACCCTGTCGGGAATCAAACCCAGGGCCTCTGGCTTGCCAGGCAAATGCTCTAACCACTAAGCTACAGGCACTCATTGCTCCTTCCCTTCCTCTTTCAATCTGTGGGTGCAGGACTTCGCATCCCATAAGAGCTCTGGGGCGCTACCCTGTGTGAGGGGGCACTGTATAAATGCAAATTGTTGTTGACTTGGATGACTATTTATGCTGCATTTGGATGGCTTAATGGACTGGCCACAGTGGTGAAGGCTCTGGAAATGATGGATAAATCCTTGACGCTGTGATTATGATGATCTAAATACTGTGTAGTATTCGTACTGTCTGATCCAGAGCCTCTGTTGCTGCATCTGTCAACTGTGATTATGGTGCATTGTATCGTGGCTTACCTACTGATCCAGTGTGGCTCATTCAGCAAGTGTTACAACATGGGTTGGTGCGCTTTGCACACTGATTGTCCAGTGCCTTGGGACATCCTCCCGACGTGAAAGGCTATGCAAATGTAATGTTGTAATCTCTGATTTATCCTGAACTGAGCTTTATAGAAATTGGAGCAACTGAATCAGTATCCAGACTTCAACAATTATCTCATTTTTGTCCTAACGAGGCTAAAATCTGAAGGTATTGTTGAATGATTTACGTCTTGCTAAAACTTCGACCCCCACACACTCTTTGTGGAGTGCCTGGGGCCCAAACTCTGCCGGGAACAGTGTGAAGTCGCTCCCTACCTCTCCACGGGGGACAGTGCTGGCTTACTGTCAATCATTTTCAAATCCCTTCATGCCCTCCCTATCTCTCCGACCTGCTTACACCATAACTCTCTCTCTCTCCTTTATTCTCTCTCCCTCTCCCCACTCTCTCTCTCCCCCCCCACCCCCCACCTAACCCAGCATGAGCAATGATGAATGGAAATTGCAGACATTTGAATCCTGAACTAGACTCTGTGGAATTCTTTCTATTCTGAGCCTTGGTTGTGCATCGTCACTGTGCAGTATCTAATTGAACCCATAATTAACAACTTGCTAGACTTACCGCAGCTCTTGTGTGATAGTTTTCGAATCCCTCTGCTCGACTGGCTCCGTTCCACCATCGGCAGCCGGGCTTTCAACCCCAAAACTCTTCCTCTATCCCTTCACTTGGCCCCTCTTCCTTCGTTCCCCAACTTCAGGTCGTATCTGAAGACCTTGCGATTCGACTATGCCTACGGTCACCCCTCCCCGGCTCAGCGTTGTGCTCCGCCATTATCAAGCGCTCCTGCGTGAGGGGCGCTGTGTTGATGTTATCAGCAGCTTTGGTGCCTTGCGGTGCGATGACTTGTATTTCACTCCTTGCAGATGAGCCAACGAGATCCCTGAGCGGGCTGATTCTGAAGAACAACGTGAAGGCTCATTACCAGAGTTTTCCACAGGGAGTGGCTGATTTTATTAAGCAGGAATGTTTGAACAACATCGGGGATACCTCGCCCCTTATCAGAGCAACCATAGGTAAGCACCTACTGACAGCAAGGCCATGTGCACAGGTCCAGTGAACGCATGCCTTCAGTTTGGGAAATCGATGAAGATCACTAGCGATTTATGTTTGAGAGATTGAGTGCAAGTCGCAGATTGCAGCCAATGGGATCTGGTGCTGGATTGTCGTGTGTAACCTCTGGGGCTCAGTGATCGATCGAATACTCCAGTCCTTGTTAAACTCCATTGGCTCCCTGTCACAGAGCCGATCGATTTCGAGATCCTCACTCTTGTAATTAAATCCCTTCACGCCCTGACACCCCCCCCTTCCTCTCCAACCTGCTCTCGCCCATCACTACTACCCGCTGCCTCTGCTCGATTGGCTCCGGCCTCCTCCTTTCCCCCAGACCCTCCGCCCCACCATCGGCGGACGCCCTTTCGGTCACTATTCCCCGAAGTTGTGGAACTCTCTCCCTCAGTCCCCTTTGCTTTGCCCACTCTCTATCTCTCTCCCCATTTTTAGGCTGCGCTTGAAGACCTTCCTCCTTAACCGTGCCGCAGCATCGGGCTCCGCCGCTATTAAGCGCTCCATCCGGCGTGAAGGGCGCTGTGTAAATGCAAGTTCTTATTTGAGGCTCTGGAAATGATGGATAAATCCTTTTAATCAGTGATGATGATGATCTATATAGTATTCGTACTGACTGATCCAGAGCCTCTGTTGCTGCATTGTATTGTGGCTTGCTTAAAGATCTGGGGATATACTGGAATCCTGTAGCTCAGTGGTGAGAGCGCTCACCTCGCAAGCGAGAGAGACCTGGGTTTGATTCCCGGCAGGGCAAAACGTTGGGCAAGTTTCTTTGCTCTGTTCACCAGCTTTTCTGAGGGTAATAACCCTTTCCAAATAAATAATAATAATTTGGTCACTCACTCAATCCACAACTGTTCTGGGACACTGCTTTGCGCAATTGGCTGCTGTGTTTCGCCCACAAAAATATACAGTCAATTCACTTGACAGTATATCCTGTGAAGCGCTTTGAGACGTTGCAAAGACTTGATAAGGCGCTATATCAAATACAAGGATTATTATTGTAATACAGTAGGTGAAGAGTTACCGTAAAGTTTGCAAAAGGTGCTTGGAGGTTCTAGACTTTCTATATGTGTCTGCTTCGTGTAGGTATTCTCATCACTACCATCGCTTCAAAGGGCGAGCTACAAGCCTGGCCTGAGTTGCTCCCTCAGCTTTGTAACCTGCTCAACTCTGAGGATTATAACACCTGTGAGGTAGGTATGTTTGAGCACTTTGGGGTGGAGGGGGAAATAAAACAAATACTTATAGTGTCTAAATCTGAAATACAAACAGAAGTGGCTGGGAACACGCAGCAGGTCAGGCAGCGGTTCTGAAGAGATGAAAATGCGTTAACGTTTCAGGTCAATGAAATCTGACGAAAGGTCATCGATCTGAAACGTTAACTCGCTCTCCTCTGTGTCGCTCTCTTTCTCCATAGATGCTGCTTGACCTGCTGCGTGTTCCCAGCAGCTTCTGTTTTACTTCTAGTGTCTGTACAGCTTTGCCCTCAAAATACACAGTCGATTAATTCAATTTACGGTAACTCTGTGAAGCGTTTTGAGACGTCTGGAAGACGTGATGAGGTGCTATAATCAAATGCAAGGATTATTATTGTTTATTATGGTCGTTGCTAACTCTCTCACGCCTATGTCTGGTGCAGGGAGCATTCGGTGCCTTACAGAAAATCTGTGAGGATTCCTCCGAGATGCTGGACAGCGATGCCCTGAACAGACCACTCAACATCATGATCCCCAAGTTCCTGCAATTCTTCAAGCATTGCAGTCCAAAGATCAGGTACCAGGCGTTTTGAGATCCAACCCTTTTGGCCACAATGATACGACGCGTCGCTGGGTCATGAATCTATTTCTGTCTCTGTCTCAGGTCTCATGCGATCGCCTGTGTGAACCAGTTTATCATCGGTAGGGCTCAGGCGCTGATGGATAATGTCGATACGTTCATTGAGGTGAGTAAGATGTTTCCGCTCATCAACTATCCTGCTTTGACGGTAACAGTTTTCACAGTAAACACACACACGCGCTGCTGCGTTTCACACACAAAACACGCAGTCACTACACTTTACAGCGTATCCTGTGAAACGCTTTGAGACGTCTCGAAGACGCGATCAGGCGCTGTATCAAATGCCAGGGTTATTATCAGTATTCAACGACTTAGCGGTTGTGTTTCCTGTAGCACCTGTTCGCGTTGGCGACAGACGAGGACTCTGAGGTGAGGAAGAACGTGTGCCGAGCTCTGGTGATGCTGCTGGAGGTGCGGATTGATCGGTTGCTCCCACACATGCACAGTATCATCCAGGTACAGTCCGTCCAGCCAGATCTCTGCACCGATTCCAACTGAGCCCACTGTGAGAATGTGGATAGTGTGGGCACAGGGTGTGCTGCTGGGAATCAAAGAGCAGCACAGACACGACACACTGAATGGAGGGGGTGGGTGGGGGGGTTTGGGTGACTTGACTTCAATTTGTTGCTGATCGCGGGGTTGAATGTGATGCCTCTTTCTGCCATCGTTAATTAATAAGAATAATTTTGGTGAAGCGCTTTGAGACGTCTCGAAGACGTGATAAGGCGCTGTCAAATGCAGTTATAATTATTGTTATTGTGCAGATCCAGAGAACGTGGTTGAGTGTAATTTTGGAATTAGGTGGGAGTTGGGCTCATAATGTGATAGAGAACCTTCACAGTTTGCTCCGTTCCCCCCACCCACCCCTCACAGTATATGCTACAGAGGACTCAGGATGCTGATGAAAACGTGTCATTGGAAGCGTGTGAATTCTGGCTGACGTTAGCTGAGCAACCCATCTGTAAGGAAGTCCTGTCTGGTCACTTGATACAGTAAGCATCAGTGGATGTGGAGTCGGTGTTTTGTTAAACGACTCCTTTGCCTAAGATCAGCTCGAGGTCGTGCTCCGTCATTCTCAGGCGTTCTGAGACGTTATCCCGCGTGAGAGGGGTCGCGAAATGAAAGCTGTTGTTGAGAGGCGTGGTGGGGGAGGGGTGGGTGGAAGAGAGAAGATGGTTGTGGTCTGAATTAAACCTGATCTGACATTAGTGATTTCGCTTCATTCCAGATTAATTCCTATTTTAGTGATTGGGATGAAGTACTCTGAGATCGATATCATCCTTTTAAAGGTAAGGAGTTCATTCCAAACTCAGTTGCGTATATTCCTCCACGCATGCTTGAAGGTGGGATTGAACGATCGTAAATCGGACACAATATAGGCTGACTGTGCAGTGGTGAGCTCCTTCCGTTTGGATGGTGAGCCGTTGAACTTCACACACAATCTTCGGTGGCTGCTTCAGTCCAACTCGGGATCAGTGAATCGCTTCAGCATCTTTGCTGACTGTCTGACAATTTTCTGTTCCTTTGGAGCAAAGAATAGTGCGAATTAAATTACTGCGGAGCGCAGAGACAGACCTGACCTTGTTTTTCTGGAAAATGCACAGCGCGAAAATCTGCCGTGGCTATTTTCTTTTGCCCACCGTGGCCTTGCTCCTTCCTAACTCTGTGACTTGCCAACCAACCCCTTATCGCCGTGTCTGCTTCCACCACCATTGGCGGTCGGGGACTTCAGCCTCTAAGCCACCACCTTTTGGACCTCCGTCCTCCCCTTTGCCTCTCACACTGTATCTCACTCTCAGGGCGATGTGGAGGAGGACGAAGCTGTTCCAGACAGCGAGCAGGACATTAAGCCACGGTTTCACAAGTCGCGCACGGTCACGCTGCAGCACGAGGAGGATGCGACTGCAGAAGATGATGATTACGACGACGACGATGACGACACTCTGTCGGACTGGAACCTGAGTAAGTTCATCGTCGGGTAGTCCCGAGGCGCCTGGAGTTCTGTAGCTCAGTGGTTAGAGCGTTCGCCTCGCAAGCGAGAGATGTGGGCAAAACAATGGGCAAGTTTCTTACTCCTCTCTCTCTCACACACACACACACCTCCAGCAGTAAGTAGGAATCCGGTTGTCAGTCGATTGGCGGATTATGTTTTGCCGAGGCTTTGCTTGATCACCTGCGTCGGGGCGGGACTTAGATTGACTCTACAGAAGCGCTCTGTGACTCTACACCCCGCATGACGGGCACTATTTAAATGCAAGTTGTGGTTGTTGCAGATTTTGCGCCCGTTGTCTTTATGTAACGTGACTGAGGTTTCTGAACATCTGGTGTGTTTTGGCAGGGAAATGTTCTGCAGCCGCGTTGGACGTTCTGGCCAATGTTTTTCGGGATGATCTTCTGCCCCACCTCCTGCCGCTGCTCAAAGGGCTGCTCTTCAATCCGGATTGGGTGGTCAAAGAGTCTGGGATCCTGGTTCTCGGGGCCATTGCAGAAGGTACACGACGCAAGTAGGGTTGTCGGCTGCACAATACAGTCTTCAGTAGTTACTAAGTGGTGAATCTCTGTAGTCTGGAGCTCCGATTAAAGTTGAAACACTGGCCCAGATTTAAGTTCTCTTTGTAAATGTATTGAGGTGCGTAACTTGCAGATCCCCTCCGTGTAAACCTTTATCTCAACACAACTCCTGTAACTCCGTGGTTAGAGCACTCGCCTCGCAAGCGAGACGACCTGGATTTGGTTCCCAATCGGGGCGAAACGTTTGGCAAATTTCCTTACTCCACATACGCCTCTCTCTAGCTAGCAGTAAGTAGGAACCCGGGTGTTGGTCGAATGGCGGATCGCTTTTCCGAGGGTGATGATCCCTTCCCAAAAAATAATAATAATTTGGTCGCTTAATCCACAACCGTTTGTGGGGACACTGCTGTGCGCAAATGGTTGCCGGGTTTCGCCCACAAATACACAGTTAATTCACTTGACAGTATATCCTGTGAAGCGCTTTGAGACGTCTCGAAGGCGTGATAGGGCGCTATGTCAAATGCAAGGTATTAGCACTGTATGTATTATTATTATTCCGATTCACTCACTGACCGTCCTTATGTTCTCTCTTTCTCCCTCCTCCCCCCACCCCAGGTTGCATGCAGGGAATGGTCCCATACCTGCCTGAGCTGATCCCACACCTGATCCAGTGTCTCCCGGACAAGAAGGCACTGGTGCGTTCCATTGCCTGTTGGACACTCAGCCGCTATGCGCACTGGGTGGTCAGCCAGCCCCCAGACCAGTACTTGAAACCACTGATGACAGAACTGCTCAAGCGGATCCTGGATGGGAATAAGCGGGTGCAAGAGGCAGCATGCAGGTGTGTGTTTGGGCTGGAAGACGGGGTCAGTCAGTGGGGTTTGAGGGGAGCGGGGTGGGGGTGCGGGGTCTCTGACATGCCCTGGCGTTTCCCCCAGACAAAGGGAAGAAACTAAAACTTGTATCTGTCTTCTGGTTTTGTTCTCTAACTTCCACTCTGTTCTGAAAGTGTTTTGGCCCATTTGGTCTCATTCCTTGCATCTGCTCATAAGAACTTAAGAAACGCGAGACGAAAAGGTTCCTATTTCGCCTTCCACCTTCCTGGTGGTCGCACGCGTGTATGTCCCAAACTACCCCTGTGCTGTACCCCACAATGTTATTTCCTAAAAGAGGACCATCTAATCTGTGTTTGAAAGAATCAGCGCTTCCTGTTTCGACCGTCTCCCCAGGGAGTCTGTTCCACAGGTTCACTGTTCGCTCACTGAAATAGTGTGTGCGTAGATTTGTCGTGAATTTAGCCCCCACCCCCCACNACCCGCTTCAATCGCAGGCTGTGTCTCTCCTCTAGTTTTACTGTTCTGGACAAGTTGAAACAGCCCGTCGTGACCTACATTGTCTCACCCGTTTAAGAATCTTACAGACAGCAATCATGTCGCCTCTCTTTTTTCCACGGGAACAATTGCAGTTTAAGTTGCTTAAATTTTTACCGACTCTTAACGTCTCTGTTTACCTCGCAGTAAGCAGGTAACGCAGATTGCAACCATGGAATCTCCTGCTGCTGTACTGTCATGTGCAAGCTCTGCGGTTCAGTGATTGATTGAGGCTCTGGAGATGATGGATAAATCCTTTAATCAGTGATGCTGATGATCTATATAGTATTCGTACTGACTGATCCAGAGCCTCTGTTGCTGCAGCTGTCACTGCGATTGGTGCATTGTATCAGGGCTTGTTTACTGATCTGCCAGTCGCTCATTCAGCTCCAACTCCAAAAAAAAAAATAATTTGGTCACTCGATCTACGACGATTAGTGGGACACTGCTGCGCGCAATTGGCTCAAGACCCTCCTCCTCGACTGTGCCTTCGGCCACCCTCCTGCATCTGCCTTTCCTTCCCCCCCAACCCCCCACACACACAGTACCAACCCCCAGCTCAGGTCCAAATCCCTGACGTGAAAGGTGCTGTGTAAAATGTTGATTTGTAAACGGTTGCGGTATGTGTGTGTTTCTGTCTCAGTGCCTTTGCTACATTGGAGGAGGAGGCCTGCACAGAACTCGTCCCGTATCTCAGCTATATCCTGGACACGTTAGTCTTTGCATTCGGGAAGTACCAGCACAAGAACCTCCTGATTCTGTACGACGCCATCGGCACCCTGGCCGACTCTGTGGGACATCACCTCAATAAACCCGTACGCAGTGATTATTTCGGTAGTGGCGATCACTGAATTAAAACTCTGAAGCTTTTGCCCTCGTCTCACCGCCTCACAAACACACACACACACACGTGTGTCTCGCGCTCACTAAGTTGCAGATCGTATTTGCACTCTTTTTTTTTTGAGGTGCCTTCAAACCCGCGCCCGCTCTAGGTTGTCCTTCTATGGACGTTATTGATTACTGATCTACTCTGTGGCTCAGTGGTTAGAGCGCTCGCCTCTCAAGCAAGAGGACCTGGGTTTGATTCCCGCCTGGGCTGGCAGGGCAAAACATTGGGCAAGTTTCCTTACTGCACGCGCACACATACGTCTGTGTTTACCTAGCAGTATCTAGGAGCCCGCTTGTTAGTCGATTGGCAGACCGCTTTTCCAGGCAATAATCCTTCTAAACGAAAATAATAATCGCGGTCGCTCAAACCACGACGGTTTGTGGACACTGGTGCGCAATTGGCTGCTGCATTTTGCCCACAAAAAGTACCAGTCACTCCACTTTACAGTATATCCTGTGAAGCGATTTGAGACGTCTCAAAGACATGATAAGGCGCTGATTATTATTATGGCCACTGTTGGTTACTGATCTACTCCGTCTAACAGGAATACATCCAGAAGCTGATGCCTCCTCTGATACAGAAATGGAATGAGTTGAAGGATGAAGACAAGGACCTTTTCCCTCTGTTGGAGGTAAGTGGTGGCAGATGTGGAGACTGGGAGACACGAGTGGTATAGAAAGAGCACCGCATCCCTGCTGCAGGAGATCTTAATGGCTGCCGTTCAGTCCTGACCCCCATCAGTAGCCCCTCAAACCTCAGCAGAATAGCCGCTTGTGTATAGGAGTCTCCTCTCTTAAGCGTTGGCGTTATTGGGCAGTGACCTCACCGGTCTCTGTTGGTAGACGAGCTACTTCTCTGAACGTTTATTTATTTTTCTTCCCGCAGTGCCTCTCGTCAGTAGCAACAGCCCTGCAGAGTGGATTCCTCCCGTACTGTGAGCCAGTCTATCAGCGCTGTGTCACCCTGGTGCAGAAGACACTTGCCCAAGCTATGGTGAGCTCCTTCGTGAGAACAGCTTCTCTGCCCCCACCCTATGGAACTCCACCCCAAATTCCCTTCGCCTCGCTCCTCAAAACCCTCCACTTCGATCGAGCCCTCGGACGCCCTCCCCGATCCCGACCCCACAGCTCCAGATCCCTGACTGTCCCGCGCCTTGGGACGTCCTCCCGACGTGAAAGGCGTTGCCTAAGTGTCGTTTCGTTTTGGATTGTGTTGCAACGTAAGAACATAGCTAGACGCAAAGAACGCCAAGATCCATCTGGTTTGCTTTCCATAAAATCGATATTGTTAGCGTTGTACATCTGCGGCAGATTATGGGGCAAGGAAGAGGTCGATTGAAACTGGAAGCGCGGCCCATGTGCAATGATGAATGGAAACTGCAGACATTTGAATCCTGAACTAGACTGTGGAAATCTTTCTATTCTGAGCCTCGGCCATGCCTCGTCACTGCCTCGGCCATGCTTCGTCAGTTTGGGGTGGAATAGTTTCATTTCAGGACAATGATAACAATAATAAGCCTTATCGTGTTAAGACTTCTCAAAGCGCTTCACGGAACATACTGCACAGCGAATTGACCGTGTGTTTCGTGGGCGAAACCCGGCAGCCGATTGCTCACAGGGATAACCTTAAAAAATATTAATTAAAAAAAAAAACGTGGTTGTTTTCAGATGTATAACACACAGCCGGAGCAATACGAAGCTCCAGATAAAGACTTCATGATCGTGGCCCTGGACTTGCTGAGCGGGCTAGCGGAGGGGCTCGGGGGCAATGTGGAGCAGCTGGTAGCCAGGAGCAACATCATGACCCTTCTCTTTCAATGCATGCAGGTGAGTGGTAAAGGATTGCGGGGAAGCAAGACCAATATTTGATCGAGCAAAGATCACAGCCAAGTTACGAGATATGTAAATGTTGGCCAAGTTCTCTTCTATTTGTCTCTCTCTCCCCCCTTTCTCTCTCTCCCTTACCCCTTCCTTCCCCTCCCTCTTCTCTCTGCGTGCCCCCCACATATATTATAAAGTGTAGTGACTCTAAATTTTGTGGGCGAAACGCGGCGCCCAGTTCATCCACTGTGTTGCTGTTGTACATCTGTGGCAGATTATGGGGGAAGGAAGAGGACTGTGGTATTGAAACTCGAAGCACGGCCCAAGTGCAATGATGAATAGAAACAGCAGACATTTGAATCCTGAACTAGACTGTGGAAACCTTTCTATTCTGAGCCTTGGCCGTGCATCGTCACAATACCTTACCTTCCTCTGTGGCAGGACTTCATTGAACCCATAATTAACAACTCTCAAATCCTTTCATGCCCCCACACCCCTCTGACCTGCTCAACCCACTGCCTCCAGCCTTCTGCTTGTCCCTCGTGCCCTCCGTTCCACCGTTGGCGGCCGCGCTTTTAGCTGCCGCACCTCGAAACTCTGTCACGCTCTTCCTCTATCCCTCCGCCGTGCCCCCTTCTTCCTTCTCCATCTTCAGGTCGTGCTCGAAAGACCTTCCTGTTCGACCGTGACTACGGTCACACTCACCCGCCCTCCCACCCCCACCGCCCAGCTCGGAGTCGTGCTCCGCCACTGTCAGGTGCTGCCCTGAGTGAGGGGGGTGCAAGTTGTTGAAAGGTTCAAGGGGAACCCACACCAGATTTTTAATGGTAGCGCTGCTCTGATATTTTCTTTATAATGTCCCGTAGGACACGATGCCTGAGGTGCGGCAGAGCTCATTTGCACTCCTCGGTGACCTAACCAAAGCCTGTTTTCAACACGTGAAGCCGTGTATAGGTAAGTGTGTCTGTGACCTCCCTTCATCTCGCCACCTCCCCCCTTTAGTTGGGATTTTATTGGGAACTCCATCCCACAGTCCCCCCCCTTGCCTCCTTCAACACCCGTCTCAAAACCCTTCTCTTCGACCAACCGTGCCGTGCTTTCGATCAAAGCAGTATCGTGCTTTCCTCCATTCCACCAATCCTTAACTGTCCGGCGTCTTGGGACTTCCTCCTGATGTGAGAGGCGCCGTGTAAAATGTCCTTTGTTGTTGATGTATCTTCAGAAGCCTGTTCCCATTTGAAGGGGGGAGATACCGGTCTCTGGTTCCCTTGGTCACGATTCTCCCTCCCTCGCCCTCTCGCGATCGTACCTGTATCCTCTGGAAATGATGCACAAAGTGTTCTCTGAATGTGGTGATGTTTCACATATTCGTACTGTCTGATCCAAAGGCTCTCTGGTTTCCGGGTTTGCCCTCGGGAGGGTAGGCAAGTGGCTGCTTTTGGCAGGATGTAGGTGTAGGGGAATGGCTTCTTTTCTCAGCTTGTGACTGAGTTGTTTAGGTCCCTCATCAACAGAGGCCTGGTTTACTCCTGGAGCAAAGTTTTGCGAGATTGAAGGCCAGGGAAATCCCGTTGTCCCCAGAAAAGGGGATGCGCTAAATTGATATCTAAACCTAACTGTTCGATGTTTATGTTGTGTTCGCGTAGTCCTGTAGCTCAGTGGTTAGAGCGCTCGCCTCGCAAGCGAGAGGACCTGGGTTTGATTCCCAAGCGGGTCAGGGGGAAACCTTAGCAAGTTTTCTTACTCCACACACGCCTGCGCCGACTGGAAGATGTGATATGGCGCTGTATCAAATGCCAGGATTATTATTATTATTATCATTTAATTTCCCTTCTAAAATTCTTTACCCGAATATAGCGGAGTTCATGCCAATCTTGGGGACCAACCTGAACCCAGAGTTCATCTCTGTATGCAATAACGCCACATGGGCCATTGGGGAGATCTGTATGCAGATGGGTGAGTGTTTTCCTGATATCTGAAGTCCTGTAGCTCAATGGTTAGAGCACACACCTCGCTAGCAAGAGGACATGGGTTTGATTCCCGGGCAGAGCTAAACCTAGGGCAAGTTTCCTTACTCCACACGCACGCCTCTGTTTACCTCGCAAAAACTGGGAACATGGTTGTTAGTCGATTGGCGGATCATTTTTCCGGAGGTAATAATTCCTTCCAAAAAAAAATAATGAATCGGTCACTTCAATGCACAACTATTTATGGGACGCTGCTGTGCTCAATTGGCTGCCGCGTTTTGCCCACAAAACACACAGCCAATTCACTTTATAGCATATTCCGTGAAGCGCTTTGAGACATCTCGAAGATGTGATGATAATATTATTAGGTGCTGTATTATTACTAAGCTGACCCCAGTCGGTCAGTGATGTTGCCCCTCTGACTCCTGCCCCCCATCTTCTTCCTCAGGTGCCGAGATGCAGCCGTACGTCTCATTGGTACTGAATAACTTGGTGGAGATAATCAACAGACCCAACACTCCCAAAACACTGCTCGAAAACACGGGTAAGATACGAAGTCCGTGATCTCAGCCTGCAATGGAACTCACTCGCACTCCCCCACCCCACCCCCATCTGATCATCACTGGACTATTCCAATGCCCTCCTCGCTGGTCTCCCCAGACACAAAATTAATTGATTGATTAATTCAAAGCTCCTCTGCCCGAATACTCACCCGTAACCCCCATCACGCCGAGCCCTGTCGGGCTCCACTGGCTCCCAATCCCCAACGGTGATTAAGCACAGCAACAAAATTAAATTTGCATAGCACCTTTCACGTCGGGAGGACGTCCCAAGGGGCCGGGGATGCTCACGATCAATAATGAAGGTCTTGAGATGGATCTTGAAGGAGGGGGAAAGACAGAGGGATTAAGGGAGAAAGTTTCTGGGTAGCGATTCAAGGCACGGCCGCCGATGGTGGAGTGGAGGGCATAAGGGCCGGGCAGGAAGCTGGAGCTGGCCGAGAATGAAGCAGATCGGGTGGGCGGGGAGGTGCGGAGGCATTTGAAAACGAGCGAGAGGATCTTGAAATCGATCCGTTCGCCAATCGAAAGCCAGCAGAGTCTGAAGGACTGCTTTATTTACTTAGGCGTGCCTCAAAACAATCTTAAACACCCCCCACCCTACTTTGAAGCGTTTTGAGACACTACCCCGCGTGAGGGGGGTGGTGGGGAGCTGTGTAAATGCAACTTACTGTTGTGTGCTTTGGCGCCTGGGCAAACTTTTTGCTGCCTGTGGGAGCTGAAGGTCTTGCTTTCCCTGCCTACAGCTATCACCATCGGGCGGCTGGGCTACGTGTGTCCGCAGGAGGTTGCCCCCATGCTGCAGCAGTTCATCAGACCCTGGTAAGCTTCAATCATTATCTGCTCGGTGTGTGTGTGTTTGCTGTGCTGGCGGAGAATTGCGACGTGTAATAATCCCTTTGAATAACAATAATTTGGTCACTGGCTCAATCCACGGCTGTTCGCAGGACGCTGCCGCGCACAATTGGCTGCCGTGTTTCTCTTCACAAAGTACACAGTCGCTACACCTCATGGTGTAGTCCTGCAACTCAGTAGTTAGAGCACTCGCTTCTCGGGTTCGATTCCCGCCCGGGAATGGCGAAACGTTGGGCAAGTTTCCTTCCTACACGCGCACACACACCCCTCTGTTTACTTAGCAGAAAGTAGGAGCCCAGTTATTAGTTGAGTGGTGGATCACTTTTCCGGGGATAATAAACCCATCAAGAAGAAATAATAACAACAATTTGGCCGTTTAATCCATGCCTCTTTGTGGGACGCTGCTGTGCAGAATCGGCTGCCAGGTTTCGCCCACAAAATATACAGTCAATTCACTGTACAGTATATTCTGTGAAGAGCTTTGAGAATTCTAGAAGATGTGATCAGACCCTGTATCAAATCGAAGGACTTGTTATTATGTGTTGAAACTTGCCGTTGGTCGGGGTGGGATTGACGTTCCCTTGGCCCTGCCCTCCCCAGGTGCACATCCCTGCGGAACATCCGTGACAATGAGGAGAAAGACTCTGCCTTCCGTGGAATCTGCATGATGATTGGAGTGAATCCCGGGGGTGTGGTGCAGGTGAGGAATCTGTTCGAAGCAGTTCTTTATCTCTCGCTCTCTCTTTGACTGTCTCTGTTTGTGTCTGTGTCTCTGTGTATATCTCTCTCGGTCTGTGTCTGTTTGTCTGTGTTGTCTATCTCTCTCTGTCTATGTGTGTGTGTATCTCTCTCTCTCTGTCTGTCTCCCTCTCGCTCTCTGCTGCCTGTGCGGTGGGGAAGCACACAAACCAACAGGAAGACCCGACTAACTTCCTTGTTCCCTGTAGGATTTTATTTTCTTCTGTGATGCGGTTGCTTCGTGGGTGAACCCAAAGGACGACTTGCGAGACATGTTTTGCAAGGTGAGGTTTCAGTTCTGGGTCATCCCAAGTCACTTTACAGTGAACCCAAAGAGTGCTTTGGGATGTGAAAGGCGCTTGATCTAATGCGAGGATTATTAATACAGTACAACACCAAATTACACTCGTAAAGCACCTTTCATGGTGGGAGGACGTCCCAAGACTCGGGGATTAGGATCCAAGTGGGGGGGTAGGAGGGTGGCCGAAGAGGAGACATGCCTTGAAGGAGGCAAGGGATGGAGCGAGGGGAAGGCAATGTGGGATGGAGATCCAGAAGGTGGAGACAGAGAGGCTGAAGGCCGGACCGCCAATGGCGGGGCGGGCTGGGCAGGGGACATGGAGCAGGCCGGAGCCTGCTGAGCAGAGGGAGCGGGCAGGTTGATAGCGGAAGGCAGGAAGACATGACCGACTATTAATAATTGCATTGAAATAATTGGGGTTGTGCATACAGTGCTATCATAATAATCCTTGCATTTGATATAGCGCCTTATCACTTCTTTGAGACGTCTCACGGAATGTACTGTAAAGTGGAGTGACTGTTTTGTGGGCAAAACGTTCTTTCGATTATTGACAAAACTGAGGATATTAAACAAAGCTTTTTTTTAAAAATTTTGAACAAAACCTCTCGTCGTTTCCCCAGATCCTGCACGGCTTCAAAGAACAGGTCGGTGAGGAGAACTGGCAGCAGTTCTCAGAACAGTTCCCGCCTCTGCTAAAGGAGAGACTGTCTGCGTTCTATGGCGTGTAGCTGAACTTTAAGGACACAAATGTCAGGTGGGCATCGACGTCGAGTGCTAACCCAGAGCTCAAACTGCCTGCAGTGTTTCTGCGATGGTAGTTTCCGCTTAGGTTGTGGGGGGTGGGGTGTGTGTGTGTGTGTGTGTGTGGCTGGAGTGTGCTGGGAGGGAGGGAGATGGGTGTGAAGACAGTGGAGTTGCGGAGAGAGAGAGAGAGTCGATGAGGTTGTTGATCCCCGAGTTGAGAGCGGCTCAGTTGGGAATACATCCGCTGAATATCTGGACTGCACGTTTGTAGTGAGACGAGCTCGCGACATGACTGCGTTGATGCTCTGGGACGTCTGGGGTGGGGGGGGAAACTTTGTTGCTTACGCATTAGGTTATTCCTAACTAACTCGCCGATCAATCGCCTAACCAGAGCTCGAGGCAACTCGTCCATTCATTCTTTGCTGTGACATTGGCACGATATTGTAAGTGTAATCTTAATTGCCCTTGGCAAGGTCTGTATAAATACTAAAGCCTTTTTTTTTTGTGTTGTTGTGTTTTCTTGTCAGGTTTCAATTGCTGGGAGGGAAAATCGTCCATCTAGGAATTGCACTGCCCTGTTGCCACTGGGGGTTAGGGTGGTGTAGGTGGGACTAAACTCACCCCCTGTCTCTGAAAACATGGGTGGTGTGGGGGGGAGGGGGGAGGGAGGGCGGGTGGGGAAACAGCCTCTAAACTCAGAACCTACTGGATCCGTTTCGGCAGAAAGATTGATCCAGACAAATGCCTGCGGCCTTTCCCTCTGAAGAGGTGATCTGCAGCTCGCTCACTCACTCGCACACGAGAAAATCCACACATCTCAAGGGGTGTACGCTCACTTCCAGGACAGGTTTGGGGGGCCAAGTGGGGGTGGGGGGGGGGTGGTTCCACAGGGGGAAATTAGGAAACCTAAAATCACCAAGTAGGCAAAAGGCTCTTGGCCACGTATTCTTAAACCACAATAAAAAGAAAAATCGTCTCGTTTTTAAAATGCTATGAATTCAGGACGGGGCGGGAGGGGGTGGGTGGGTGGGGGCGGGGGGGGTGGGAAACGGTTGATGCTTTTTTGGCCACGGGTTTAAAAAAAGAAGTCCGAGAGAGACTTTTTCTCGCACCAAAATAGAAAGTAAAAGCAAGCTTCGTATCGTAACCGTCGTGTTGGTGCCTCGGCAGTCATCAGAAAAGGAGTCACTTTAGTGTTTTAAAAGCTCGACTGCCTGCTGGCACTGTGATAGTCTCGTGGACCTATGATTAGAATGTATTGTGTGCCTAGATCAGTGCTTCCTTTAGTTTGTGGCAGCTGTGACGCGAGGGGAGGGCGGGCGGGCGGGCGGGTGGGTGGGGATTGAGGGAGTTGCCTTTGCTCTACTCTTGGATGGGAGCAAGTAGGGAGGGAGGGAGGGTGGGGGCATGAAGCCTGTGTCTGGATACTGTGATGAAGCATGCGCTGGTTATGACGCCCTGTAAAAACATGAACTTGTTTTTATTATTTTATTTTTTTTAACAAAGAAAAAATTGTGGTAAGAGGCTGACGCTTCGTGTTTTTTTTTGTTTTTTTTTTGTCTTCGTAATGTGCCAGTTCACGCGGCAGGCGTTTTTATAGAACATCCTGCAGGTGTTTTTACACAGAGCAAAATGAGCTTCCGCAGCCTCTTCCTAGATATCGGGCGGGCAGTTTGTTAGTTGCACGTATCTGAACCTAGTTAGGTAGCGGGGGGGTGGGGGGGGGATAATGCGCGCGAGTCCTGTAGCTCGGTGGTTAGAACACCCACCTCGCAAGCGAGAGACCCGGGCGGGCAGGGCAAAATGTTGGGCGAGTTTCCTTACTCCACACGCCTCTGTTTCCCAAGCAGTGAGTGGGAACCCCGTTGTTAGTTGATTGGCGGATCGCTTTTCTGGGGGTAATAATTCCTTCAATAATAATAATAAAAAAATTGGTCACTCGATCCACGGCTATTTGTGGGGACGCTGCTGTGCGCATTTGGCTGCCGCGTTTCACCCACAAAACGTACAGTCAGTTCACTTTGCAGTTTCTTCTATGAAGCTCTTTGAGACGTCTCGAAGACGTGATAAGGCGCCATTTCAAAATGCAAGTATTATTATTGACCAATTGTTCCCATCCACAGTCGGGGTTGACCGACTTGTTACCAGGTGGAGTATCTTTCCGAGTGGATTAAGGACTGTCTTATCTTTCCCAGTAGGAATTTAGCTGGTGTGTCTGGAGTGGGGAAAGGGGAGCCAGGGGAGACTGACATTTTATAGGAAGTAGTAAGTGGAATGGAGATGTTATTGACAGCTCACAACAGGTCCCCCCCCCCCCCTGTTCACAGTGAGCATTTCAGTGGCTTTCATCTTTTTTTAAAAAAAAAGGTCGGTCTTTGAACTTGAAGTGACTGTGTTGACAACGACATTCTCCCATATCTGACCAACGTTTCCAGAGCCGCATTCCGTAATCTTTAGAACACTATAGCCCCCACTTCTGAACGCCAGGCAATGGTTGAAACCTCTTGTTTTGTGGCAAGTGCCAGGAGACTATTTGAGGGGGGGTGGCGCGGGGGGGTGTTTGTGTGTGGAGGAGGGCAAGGCCATACAGTCCAACTCCAGTTGTTATATGCTTTCCACATGTACGAAGTTCCCAGGAGCAGAGCTGCACGTGTGCGCAGTGTAGAAGTGGCTGATGCTGTAGTTGCTTTGAGTTGTCGTCATCCACTGTTGGTCAGTTACTCCCATTCCTAATGGTTCTGGTGGACAGATTTCCTCTGTGAGGGACTATGAGCAAAGTGCTACTGACGTCATATTTTTTTTTAAAACATATAAACCGAGTGGTTCATTCCTATCTGCCCAGTATAAGATTCAATTGATGCCGGAGCCACGGGTTAGGGTGGTGCAAGAACCTCTGAAGCGTCCTGGCTGAATCCTGCATTTGCTTAAGAGAGTCGTGTAAAAACAATGATTGTGTGAGGGGGTCATTGGCTGACGACCTGCAATCCTCAATCAGAGGTTCATCATTTCGCGGCTTGGCGTTTGTGACAAACTTGCGCGAGGAAGCTCAGACTCTTCCAGGAATTTCCTCTCCCCTCCCCACCAGATTATTAGGTTGTCTTCTGTCTTTAGCAGCTGTCATCGCTTCTGTGGGATTTTCATCATTAGTCGGGTGAACCGGGCCACGGGACGAGGATTTTTTTACCCCCCATTTGTTTTTGCGTGTGGTCTCCCAGCAAAGGCCCACGTCTCTGAATCCCATCCGGTCATTGCAAAACGTTGGGCAAGTTTCCTTACTCCACACGTACACCTCTGTTTACCCAGCGGCAAGTAGGACCCCGGTTGTTAGTCGATTGGCGGATCGCTTTTTCAGGGCTAATAATCCCTTCAAAAATAATAATAAGTAAATAATAATAATGCAGTCGCTCAATCCCCGACTGTTTGTGGGACGCTGCTGAGTGCAATTGTCTGCTGCTTTTCGCCCACAAAATATATAGTCAAATCACTTTACCGTGCATTCTGTGAAGCGCTTTGAGGCCACTCAAAGACAGGATAAGGGGCTATATCAAATGCAAGGATTATTATTATTGTCGTCGATTCCTTGCCTAATGCCAGCCAGAGTAACCGCCTCATTTGGGCAGTAGTGGATGAGGTGGGAAGTCTGTATAATAGTTTCTAGCTATTCGCGGCTGCACTTGAGTATTTCAAGCTTCAGAGCATCAGTCTACCAGCTGTAGTTCTTAGCTGACTTGGAGGTGGGGAGGGAGGTGGGAAGGGGAGGTTATTTTTAGCCTGTGATGAAATAATTCGGTCAGGGTCTCTGGCTATAATCTAAGACCCTTTTTGGGACACAGGTGCTGCTTTGTTCAATGCTTGCTTTAATCTCTCCCTTTACAAGCCTAGAAATAAGATGTTTGTCGCACTAATATAGTCCAACTTGAGTATATCACTGGCATTACCGGGGTGGGTGGGCAGAAGCTGGTGTCTGTGGCTATTCTGGGGGAGGAGGGAGGAAGAGAATATTACCTCCAAAGGATCTGTTATTAAAACAATGTACATTTGAACCTTTGACTATTGGCTGTGTGGAATCTTTCCGAGCAAGAGCAGACTTTACTGAACTGAAGCGCGGACAGCCTGGCAACATTTATACCATGTAGGTGACCATTTCATCATTAATAATAACAATAGTAATAAATTGGTCACTTCAATCCCCGGCTGTTTGAGGGACGCTGCTGTGTGCAATTGGCTGCCGCCTTTCGCCCACAGAATATACAATCAATTCACTTTACAGTGTGTCCTGTGAAATGCTTTGAGTCGTCGCGTAGATACGATAAGGCGCTGTGTCAGATGCAAGGATTATTATATTATTAAAACTGCTGGGTGGCCCAACAATTAATGTGTGGGGAGGGCGGTCCAAAGTTTTAACTATAAAAGCCCAGACCCACCCCACAACTGCCCAAGTCTCTTTCCCTGGAAGTGCTCTGCCATGATGTAGCCTGGGAGAGGTGTCTGATCCCTAAGGCAGGCTGGAAGCTATTTCCTCAATGGGGAACGTGGACTTCAGGTCTGGCTTTGGACTCTCATATCAAAGTTGGGGAGAAATGATAATTGTGCTGTGGTACAAGACTCATTTAAGAAACTGGTGGGTCATTGGAGGGGGTAATTATTATGCACATGGTAATGGGAGAAACTGCTCTTGTGTAGGTGATGGGGCTTTTTGGTATCGCACCTCCTTGATTTGATGGATCGCTACCGTTTCATCTTGAAACGCCATGTTATCTGCTGGTGATCCTGGAGGTTAATTGAGGAGTGTTTGTGTCTGTGGAAACCTACACGATACTGGTTAGGGCAAACAAGATTTGACAAATATTAACACTGCACACTAAAACACTTTTTTTTGTGGGGCGGAGGAGTCTTTAAAGGCCACACTGGTTTGAATTGTGAAAGTTGTTTGAGAAGGTGGCAGCGTTGGTAATATACTTGTTGCCCTGCCTCAAGAAAGACTTGCTTTAAGATCTGTTGTTCGTGTGTGCATGCTTTTTTTTGTTGAGGAAATAGATGGCTGTGATTTTCTTATGACACAAAAAACATAAGAATATCATGGTCCCACTGCAAGAGTGTAAACGCTTATTGAAAGCGGGGGAGGGAGAGTTAATACACGCAGACGCTTCAATGCAATTCTGATTCTTGACGGGTACAAAATTGAGCTGCTGATATCTTGCAGTGTTAAGTGTATATTGGGCTGGAGATTCTGTCCATGTCTATCCAGAGACGATCTGATTGTCACGACGGAAATAATAATAATCCTTGTGTTTGATACAGCGTCTTATCACATCTTCGAGACGTCTCAAAGCGCTTCACGGGATATATACTGTAAAGTGAACTGACTGTATGTTTTGTGGGGCAAAATGTGATCACACCGTGTTGTAAACCGGGGTGGAAGGGGCAGAAACGTTGCCTGAAAAGAATGCTGCAGCAAAGAATGAAACGAAAGTGAGGACCTGTCCCAAAGCCTGGTCTATATTATTAGGCTTTGCTGGGTTGGGAGAGTTGACATCACATTAGCTTGAAGCCCCCGATCGAGCTGTGTGTTGGGAGATTGTGTATTTTAGATGCTCACCTGATTGCTTAACATTGGTTTGGAGGGCCTCTGTCCCTCTTCTTCTCCCCACCCCCCCACCACCGCCCCTCTTGTACCAGTGTTTTTGCTGTCTCACTGTATCCCTGCCTGTGTTTTAGTTTTTAATTTGTATATTTGTAAATGCGTGCTGTTCCTGTGTAAAACTGTATGATGTTTTGATCAGTGTGATGGGTGGCAACTTGCACCTTCTGCTCAACTGGAGAAACTTCTCATTCATGTATAATTTTTTTTTTATTTTCCCTACGACTAAAATCAATTACTTGTGACTCTACTTATGTCTGGCTCGTCTTTTCTCTACTGTGTGTTTGGCTTCCGTCTTCAGGGGGGGACAAAAAAACATTTCTCTTTAAGGAGGCGGTTTGAAGTCTTGGGTAAAATTAGGGCAATATGAGCTTGGTTTGGTGCAGGTTAGCAATGCCACTCTAGAACTCTATCCCACAATCGCTCCGCCTCACCCCATCTCTTACCTCCTTCGAGACCTTCCTCTTCGAGACCTTCCTCTTCAGCCATGCCTTCGGTCACCTTCCCACCCCTGCCCTCCATGCCTCCTGACCCCAACCCTCAGTTCAGGTCCAAAACCCTTGATTGCCTAAGACCCTGGGACGTCTTTCCGACGTGAAGGGTGCTTTACAAATCTAATTTGTTGTTGTCCGTGGCCCATGATTTGGTGAAGAAATCAACTTGCACCAACAGCCCAATATATGGAAACAGAAGGACCACAATACTGTCATTAAAACCTACAAGTCCATCCCATTCTGCCATCCAATACATCAGATAAGCTGGGTGACGGTGACAGCCTTGCCTTTACCCCCGCCCGCCCCTCCCCACTTCAAGAGGGATAGGCGTTGTGAATCTACCGTCAGCCCTCACTCAGATCTTGCCATTGGAATGCATGTTGAAAGTTAAAATAAAATTTAAAGATTTGGTCACTTGTTTCCAAAAAAAAATGTATTTTATCACGAGGCACCGGGTCAGAGGCTTTGCGGAATTCGGTGCTTTACCTGAGGTGAGCGTTGGAAACGTCGCACTTGTGTTCAAATGCCTTTGTGCCCCCCTACCCTCTCCGACCTGCTTACCCGCTGCCTCCGCTCAACTGGCTCCGGCATGTCCCTCGTGTCCTCCGCTCCACCAGCGCTTTCAGCCACTGCGCCCTGGAACACTCTTCTTCTATTCCCTCCGCCTTTGCACCCTCCTTGACCGTCTTCGGGCCGGGCCTGGAGACCTTCCTATTCGACCGCCCCTACGGTCATCTTCCTCCGGCTCAGGGTCGGGGCCCCCAACGCTCCTGTCAAGCGCTCTGGGAGGGAGGGTCAACACAGAATGGCATCGGTATATGGCGTCTTCCACGGCGGGAGGACGTCTCAGTGTGAGTTGTTGTCGTCCCCCCCCCCCCCCCCGCCGTCTCATACAGAGCCATAATTTTTTTTTGACCCCCCCCCCCCCCCCGAGAGTTGAAAGAAAACACACAGTCACTACACCCGACAGCGTATTCCGCGAAGCGCTCGGGGGACGTCCCGGAGCCGCGCTCGGGCGCTGTATCGAATTATTATTAATATCATCAATTATTATCATCATTGATATTTATCCCATTGGGGGGGGGACTGACCCCATCCATCAGCCCAACAGCTGTGTGGGAGCCCGTCACGTGTCGGGGGCGGTCGGTGGTGACGACAGACGAGGCGGCGTCGGCGGCGGGTGGTGTGGGTGTGGGTGTGTTTTTTTTGCGCCCTCGTCACGTGACGGGGGACTGGGTCGGCTTCGCCTGTGACGTCGGCCGGCGCAAGCGCGCCGGAAGTGTCGGCGGGAGTCCGTGGAGACTGGAAAGCGGCGGCGGAGGCGGCAATGAAGGCTTCCACTTTCCACTCGACTCTTTGAGGTGAAGGCGGGCGGTGTCTCCCCTCCTTTTGCCCTCACACACCCCCCCCCCCCCCCGGTATTGCCTCCACCCCCTCTCCCGCCCCCCCCCTCCGGTGTCCCGCAGGCAAATAACAGGTCGACTGACAGGAGGGCGCAGGCGGGGGGGGGGGCGCGGGGGGAGAGAGGGTGGGTGGGGGGCGGGTTGCGACGTCATTGAAGGCGGTGACGTCGCTGAAGACGGTGACGCCGCTGAAGGCGGTGACGCCGTTGAAGGCGGTGACGTGGTGACGTCAGGGGGCGTGGGTTACAGGTGGGGGCGGGGCTCCAGGGTGTGCTCATGGACCAGGTCACACAACAACAACAACAACAACAACGGGACGAAGATGATGATGATGATGATGATGATAATAATAATCAGCGTCGCCCTCACACTCAGAGCCCGACCCGCCCGAGACCGTTACCGATTGACGGATCGCTTTTCCTTTGGGGGTAACAATCCCTTCTCGCGATACAACGACATAGACTTACGTAGCGCCCTCCACGCGGGGTAGCGCCTCAGAGCGCTGAACAGAAGTGGGGCCCGACACCGAGCCGGAGGGTTGGGGGAGGTGGCCCTGAGCCTGGTCCAACAGGAAAGTTTTCAGGCGGGGCTTGAAAGAGGGGAGCGAGGGGACAAGGCGTAGGGATTGAGGGAAAGTATTCCAGAGCAGTGGCTGAAAGCACAACCTCCGATGTGGGTGCTCTCTCAGTGGCACATAGCTTTCCATCGAGAGCGCTGTCTGGCGAGCTTTCCCGCTGCTTGCCCAGCGAGGAGCACCCTCATAGGACCTTGGCTTGCAGGGTAACAGGAGCTGAGCCTGTCCCCGGGGACTCACCTGTCCTTTCAAGGCCTTTCAGTGAGCCGGGTTGGGCTGTCATCAGCAGTGGCCTGGGATACTGTGGACCCAACTGGCTCAGAAACCAGACAGAGTTTGATTCCGACTTTCCGTTGCCAAACACGTCACCTTGGAACCAGTTCAGGTCCAAGGAGAGCCCCACTTATCGTTCCTTCTTTACCCTCCCCCCTCCCCACCCCCAAGGTAATCAATCAATATCTAACGAGTGCGGTTCAGCTGTCGGCCCTTCAGCCTCTCTGCCCCCACCCTCTCGAACTCCATCCCACGATCCCTCTGCCTTGCCCCCTCCCTCGCCTCCATCAAGGCCCGTCTCAAAACCCTCCTCTTCGACCGCCCCTTCGGCCACCCTCCCTGCCCTCCACCCACCCCCACCCCGATCCCGACCCCCAGGTCGGGTCCAAACCCTGACTGTCCAGCACCTTGGGAAGTCCTCCCAACATGAAAGGCGCTGTGTAAATATAACATTGTATTGCAATCTGTCTATCTCCAGGAATCAGAGGGTCTGGGGTCATTATTTTTATCTTTTTGACAGACTTTATTGCACGGAGAAGGCACCAATATAGGGCTCGATGTCGGAGGACGGCCTGAGCTGTGATGGGCTCACGTCCGACGGGGAGTCCGAAGTGGACCATGATAAAGATCCAGAGGCTCAGGCGCAGGAGTATGTGAACCGTGTGTGGAACCCTGACGTGTCTGGCCCGCGACCCCCCAGTTGCCCAGCGGAAGTGCAGCTCAAGAGCCCCAAGTCCACAGCCTCGGATCTGAGCATGAAGCTGCTGACGAGCGCAGCACTGCCCGAAGGGGAGGGGATGGAGTCTGGCCTCCTCTCTCTCCCCTGGGAGCTGATCCTGGAGATCTGCTCCTACCTGGACGCCAGGTTTGTGCTGGGAGTCCTGCCTTTGGTTTGCCGGGCGTTCCAGTGTGTCCTGACTGATGATGTGACCTGGAGAATCCGGGTCCAGAAACTCCTTGGCCTGAATTTCCCGATGCTGGAAGGTGAGTTACTGTGCTTCATCGTTTGTGGAGTTCTGTAGCTCAGTGGTTAGAGCACTCTCCTTGCAAGCGAGAGGACCTGGGTTCGATTCCCGACTGGGCAAAAGGTTTCCTGACTCCACACACACACACCTCTGTTTACTCAGCAGTAAGTAGTAATCCGGTTGTTAGTCGATTGGCGGATCGTTTTTCCGGGGATAATAACTCCTATGAAAAAAAATGTGGTCACTTCAATCCACGACTGTTTGTGGGGACGTCGCTGTGCGCAATTGGCTGCGGAGTTTCGCCCACAAAACACAGTCAATTCACTTTACAGTATATCCTGTGAAGCGCTTTAAGACGTCCACCACCACAACAACAAATTACACTTGTATAGCGCCCTTCAAGTCGGAAAGATGTCCCAGGGCCCCAGACAATCAGGGGTTTTGAACCTGAACTGGAAGTTGGGGTCAGGAGGCGTGGAGGGCAGGGGTGGGAGGGTGGCTAAAGGCATGGTCCAAGGAAGAGGAAGGTCTTTAGATGGGAGTTGAAGGAGGCAGGAGAGAGGGGGCAAGGCTGAGGGATTGCGGGATAGAGCTCCAGAGTGTGGGGGCAGAGATGCTGAACCGACCACCAATGGTGTGGAACTTTGTGAGTAATTGGGGGGTGGAGGGAGGGGGTTGACGTTGGGTTTAGACTGATTCTCTGCTTTAATCGGCTGCTTTTTCCTCCTCGCCTTCACCAGGAAGACATTTTAATTGGCCCCTGGCATGTATCGAACTGGAAGAACACTTGTCCCATTGGTCCCAGGGCCTGGAGAAGGTGGAGCACTTCTCTCTGAACGACGGCCACTTTGCTGCTGTGGACTGTGTGCTGCTAATCAAGGTAAAGTCCACCCCACCCCACACCCCCACCCACCACCAGCCACTACTTCCCCAAGTCTGAAAAGTTGCGATTGGCTGCTTCACGGAGTATTTCTGCATCTCATCGCTCGAGGCGTATGGAGTAAGGAAACTTGCCCAACGTTTTGCCTTGACCTGACCCGCCCGGGAATCGAACCCGGGTCCTCCGGCTTGCGAGGCGAGGGCTCTAACCGCTGAGCTACTGGGGAGTGTACAAATGCACGTTGTTGTCGCTGTTGTTCCTCAGAATGCAACATTGTGCATCACTGGATCCAGGGATCGAAATGTGAACGTCTGGGATTTGAAGCGTTTGGATCAGAAGGACGAGACAGTGTTGGTCAAGTCTCTTGGAAACCGACCTCGTGGTACCCACAAGGTACAGCTTCGCTGGTCGCGCGCTCTTCCAAACTCAGACTAAAGATGTGGACTCTGGTCTGCTCCACATCCCCCGCCCAGCCCGCCCCACCATTCAGCCTCTCTGCCCTCCCACACTCTGGAACTCCATCCCACATTCCCTCCGCCTCGTTCCCTCCTTCGCTGCCTTCAAGACCCGTCTCAAGACCCTCCTCTTCAACCACGCCTTCTGTCACCCTCCTACCCCCACCCTGCCCTGCTCTGCCCTCCACCCCCTCCTAATCCCAACCCCCCAGTCCAAATCCCTGACTGTCCAGCGCCTTGGGACGTTCGCACGATGTGAAATGTATAGTTTAATAATATAAATGTAATATTCTTTGGTGTGACTTCCTGTTGTCCCCTCTCTCAGGGCTGGGTCTGGTCGCTGGCCTCACAGGGGGACATGCTGAGCTCCGGATCCTGGGATAGCTGCATCAAGCTCTGGGACATGGCGTGCGAGGGAGCCAGTGTCCGGGAAATCAGGTAGAGCTTTCAGAATGACAGTGACATTTGTAAAACCCCAAAGCTGTGGAACTCTCTCCCGCAATCCCTTCTCCTCGCCCCCTCCCTCATCTACACCCCTCCCCCTGACTCGGGCTCCGCCACTGATAATAATACTTGCATTTGATACAGCGCCTTATCTCGTCTCAAATTGTTTCACCGGATATACTGTAAAGTGGAGTGACTGTATTTTCTGAGATTCTCTGAGACACCGTACGGTGTGAAGGGCGCTATATAAATGCAAGTTGGCGTCCCGTAGCTCAGCGGTTAGAGCGCTTGTGCCTTGCCCCGAGAGGACCTGGGTTCGATTCCCAGGTCAGGGCAAAAGGCTTTTGGGCGAGTTTCCCTACTCCACACACACACACACACACACACACACCTCTGTTTACTCAGCAGTAAGTAGGAACCCACCTGTTTGTCGATTGGCGGATCGCTTTTCCTGTGGGTAATAATCCCCTTCAAAAAAATATTAACAAATCGGTCACTTCAATCCATGACCGTTTGTGGGGACGCTGCTGTGAGCAATTGGCGGGCTGCGTTTTGCCCACAAAATCCACAGTCACTACACTTTACAGTGTATCCTGTGACGTGCTTTGAGACGTCTCGGAAGACGTGATAAAAGGCACTGGAGCAAAGGCCAGGATTATTACTATTATTTGATTGACTGCAAGAAGTGGGTGAAGTTTAATCGTAGTGGTGACCACCGACTGTCTGCGCTGTGTGTTGGGAGTGACCGTCAGGGCCCCGGGAGGTCTTTCCGACGCGAAGGGTGCGATACAAGTGTAATTTGTTGTGGTTGTGCCCACAGAGGGAAGGCAGCTGTGCTGTGTCTGGCGTATCTCACTGATGTCCTCGTGGCCGGGTCATACGACAAAACCGTCACCGTGTACGACCCCCGAGGTTTGAGAGCTCCTTTGTGTCGCTTGTGTGGCGGGGAGGGGGTGGGGGGGAGATGGCTAATAATCCCTTTAAAATAAAGGGGAGTACGATGATTTTGAACTGTATTCTCTAAGGAGGGTGGGGAGTGGGGGGGAGGCAGCGGAGCTGGGCGAGGGTGGGGGCTGGTGCCTTCGATGTCTTTGTTGGTCATTGTTGCGGTCATTTCTTCTCAGCAAGTGACCCTGTGATCACAAGCCGTAAGCTTCACAACAACGCAGTACTTTGCCTAGCGGCTGACGAACGTTACCTGATTTCCGGCAGCGAGGACAGGACCATGGTGGTGTTTGACCGCAGAGCCAACCGCGTCCTTCAGAGACTGCAGGTACGAATCTGTTGGCTGCCGCGTTTCGCCCACAAATATACAGTCAATTCGTTTGACAGGATATTCTGTGAAGCGCTTTGAGATGTCTCAACGACGTGGGAATTACATTAAATGAAAGGATTATTATTATTATTATTGTTATGACACCCAGTAGAACAATATGATCTGTGTTTGCCTCAGCTGGATTCCTATCTGTTCACCGTCTCATACCGGGGAGCAGAGGTGTGGGCAGGAGACAAATGGGGCCTTGTGCATGTCTTTGACCAAAGAGGAGGACTTTTCCAACATGTCAAGGTAAGATGGGTGGTGGGAGGGTGGGTGGTGGCGGGGAGAGTGGGGTGGGGAGGGGAAGAACAATGTGGTTGATTGTGCTTCACATCCCCCGCCTCACCCGCCCCACCATTGGCGTATAGGCTTTTAACCTCTCCCCCACCCCGGAACTCCATCTCACAATCCCTCCTTCAAGACACATCTCGAGACCATCCACTTCGCCGGTGCCTTCGGTCAGTCTCCTACCCCCACCCTCCACCCCTCCTGAATCCCAACCACCAAATCCCCGATTGTCCAGCGCCTTGGGACGTCCTCCCGACGTGAAAGGCGCCGTGTAAATGTAACGTTTTGCTGTTGTGTTCAGGTAGAATCCAGGCAGTGCATGAGAGAGCTGCTATACTCCTTAGAAATTCAGTCAGTCGCTCATTCCCACTTAATTGGATTTGGGATCTTCTTAGACACGTTTCGTTCGTTCTTGCTCTGTAAGTCTCTTTGACGTACATTTAATTCAACCTCGTTTGCCTCAATTCGGGAGTATTTCCACAACGACCCAGGCAGCTGAGAAGGAGAAGTCGTCTCTGTTTCTCCCCAGGTGTCTGGCACCTTCCCCCCCCAAACCCCGTCCTCTTTCCCCCCACTCCCCACATCCACCCACTCACCCCTGACTCTCTCTCTCTCTCTCTTTCTCTGTGTCTGACTTTTTTCAGTGTTACAATGTTGGTCACCGATCTCAGCTAACGGGGATCAAACACTCTGTGGGAACCTTGTACACGTCTTCAACGGATAAGACGATCAAGGTAGGAACACTTGACATGTGTGCAGTCCTGTTGCTCAATGGTTAGAGCAATCGCCTCGCAAGCCACAGGACCTGGGTTCAATTCCCAGCAGGGCGAAACGTTGGGCAAGTTTCCTTACTCCACACACACGCCTCTGCTTACCAGCAGTGAGTAGGAAGCCGGTTGTTAGTCGATTGGTGGATCGCTTTTCCAGGGGTAATAATCCCTTAAAAAAAAAATTGGTTCGGTCACACAATCCACGACGGTTTGTGGGACGCCGCTGGGCGCGATTGGCTGCTGCGTTCCACCCACAAAATACACAGTCACTACACTTTACAGTATGCTCTGCGAAGCGCTTTGAGACGATAAGGCGCTGTGTCAAATGCAAAGATTATTATTATGTTTCGGAGTTTGACAGTATCGTGGCTTTCTTCCTCCGCTCCCTGCGGTGTACTAGTTTGTTTAACAGTTTTGATGTCTCTCTCAGATCCATGTGCCCACAGACCCACCTCACACCGTCTGCACCATACCCCACAGGGACGTGGTCAATGGGGTGAGTCTCGTTCCTCTGAAAACGCATCCCATTCTTTCTTGTCTGGTTTACAGTCACAGGTCCCATTCCCTTGTCTGGTTTACTCTTTGCAGTCGGAGAGAATGGGTGTGCGAATGGGAGAGAGGGGAGGAAGCAGACAGGGTTGTTGCTGCTGCTCTATACAGAGATCCTCTTGCTGGGATGTGTGCCTGAGATTACGTGAGGAGCTTATTTTCCGGAAGCTCAGTGGTGAGAGCACTCGCCTCGGGTTCGATTCCCCGAGGCCCGGCTGTAGAGGAGGATCTTGAGACGGGCCTTGAAAGAGGCGAGGGAGGGAGCGAGGCGAAGGGCGTGTGAGACGGTGGGGGGCAGAGAGGCTGAAAGCCCGACCACTGATGGTGGGGGGGTGGGGGAGGGGGGGCAACGTGGAACAGGCCTGAGCGGAGGGAGCGGACAGGTTGATATGGGAGTCAGCAGGTCACAGAGGTAGGGAGGAGCAAGGCCGCGGAGGGCATTGAAGGCCAAGGCGAGGATTATAGTTATAAGGTTGTACGCGACCTGTCAGTGGTGCGGTTAACCACCTCCTTGTCTCCGTGCAGATCAGCATAGACAAGAACGTGTTGGCAGCAGCCTCCGGGGCGATGTCGCTGGAGATCTGGCGAATGAACGAGTGAGCGAGCGTGTGTGTGAGCGAGAGAGCGAGCGAGCGAGTGTGCAAGAGAGCGAGAGAGTGAGTGAGCGAGCGAGCGAGGGGCTACCATTTGCTGCGATTCCTCCACCACAATATAATCAGGAAGGTGAGGAGGTGGTCTCACCTCGGGCTCCCTCTGCCCCCCCCGCACTACAACTGGGCCCTCGAACTCTACCACTGACGGGCTGTTAGGAAAAATTACACGAGTGACGGGTGAGATGGCTTTGTGTCGGTGCCAGAAACATGCACAACTCGGTGTTTCGGGGCAATTAAATTCCTGTTGATTTGGCACAGTTACTTACGATTGCTATTCATTCATGTCGAGGAGTTCCAGTGGTTAGAGCACTCGCCTCGCAAGCGAGAGGACCCGGGTTCGATTCCTACCCAAACCGGGCGAAACGTTAGGCAAGTTTCCTTACTCCACGCACACACACACACACACACGCACACGCCTCTGTTTACCCAGCAGTACGTAGCAACCCGGTTGTTAGTTGATTGACGGATCGCTTTTCCGGGGAGTATTAATCCCTTCAGAATAAATTTATTTAAAAAAAAAGTGATTTGGTCACTCAGTCCACGACCGTGTGCGTGGGACGCTGCCGGGCGCAATTGGCCGCCCCGTTTCGCCCACAAAACACACGGTCACTGCACTTTACAGTATATGCTGTGAAGCGCTTCGAGACGTCTCGAAGACGTGATAAGGCGCTGTGTCAAATGCGAGGGTTAGTATCATTACAGCCCTCAAAAAGCACTTAGAAGTGAGCATTTGTTCTGTCCTGGAAATTGTGCTCCGTAAATGTTGGTAAATTAAAAGTGATTTTTGTAGAAAGTGTTTGGGGGTTTTTTTTTTCTCGCTAATTATTTTGGAGGGGGGGGGGCGGCGTTGAGGGCACGGGTGATGCAGCGCTCTGGGACCCTATATAAATGCAAGTTGTCGTCGTTGAGTCCTGTGGTTAGAGCGCTCGCCTCGCAAGCGAGAGACCTGGGTTCGATTCCCGGGCGGGCAGGGCAAAATGTTGGCAAATTTCCTTACTCCACACACACGCCTCTGTTCACCCAGCAGTAGTGACTAACCTGTTTGTTAGTTGATTGGCGGATCGCTTTCCTGGGGATAATAATTTGGACACTCAATCCACGACTGTTTATGTGGGTCACTGCTGTGCGCAATTGCCTGTTAACGTTTCACCCACAAGACATACAGTCACAGGATTACACGTTACAGCGTATCCCGTGAAGCACTTTGAGTCGTCTCGAAGAAGGCGATAAGGCGCCGTATCAAATGCAAGGATTATTATCATTCATCGCCGTCGGACAATGGGAGGATGCGAGAAAAATAGAACGGTTGGAGGGAGGGAGGGAGGGAGGGAGCTGGGAGATTGGAGGAGAAACAAAATGATGAACGTACGTTCAACGGAATTTACAAGGAGTTTATTGCAATAAGGTTCACCGGTTAATAACATTACTGCATTCCTCCAGCCAGCTTCACTCCTGTGCTTGCGCCAGGCGGCGCTGAACACTTCTCCTGAGAACGGTTTTGCTGCGTCCCGCAGAGGGGAGGAGGGAGGTCTAGAGCAGGACGCAGGGCTTCTTATCCTTGAAAGGGTTGTCGGAGGTGGGTATCGGCCTCAGCAGAGGGTCACTCAGTGCATGTTCCTCACAGTATCGCACCAGCTCTGCGGCAGCCTTTGAGATCTGGGGAGGTGAGAGAGAGAGAGAGAGAGAGCTGGAGTGACTGCACTTGACAGCGAGATAGGCGAAGGTAATAAATGGCGAGGTTAGTGGTGAGCAAGTAAGAGTTTGAGCCAACGGAGTCACTCTGCCGCTGTCTGGAGTGAGGACTTTAAAGCAATCAGATGCGTTAGTCCTGTAACTCAGTGGTTAGAGCATTCGCCTTGCAAGCGAGAGGACCCGGGTTCGATATCTCCCCCCCCACCCCAGGCAGGGAGAAATGTTGGGCAAGTTTCCTTACTCCACGTCCACATACATGCCCTCTCTTTACCCAGCAGTAAGTAGGAACCCGTGTGTTAGTCGATCGGAGGATCGCTTTTCCGGAGCTAATAATTCCTTCAAGAAATAATAATAATAAACTGGTACATTAATCCAGGACTGTTTGTGGGGGACGCTGCTGCGCGCAATTGGCTGCCGCGTTTCGCCCACAAAATATACAGTCAATTCACTTTACAGTGTATTCCGTGGAACGCTTTGAGACGCGATAAGACGACGCTGTATCAAAATGCGGTGATTATTATATTATATAAGTTGTTGTTGTTCTTGATCATTGGCTGTGAGTCCCGAGGAACGGCCTGGCTCGGGGAGTATAAAAGTTTCAGTCAGTTCAAAAAGTAACTTGGACGCAGAAAATTGGGTACGAAACTCGCCTGAGAAAATAATCCCCCCTTCGAAGCTTCAGTAGAGTGCAAACTGATCGCAACGTCTACTCCGTGGCACGAGTAAAGAATTTTAAGAGAAGACGCTTACCTTTACCCTCTCGATCCCAGACTCGATGCGGAGCTGCTCCACGAGTTTCCTCGCCTGAGCCGTGCTGTTGGTGCTCGTGGCTTTCGTTGACATGGTGCGACACGGCAGCGCCGAGCGGGGACCTGGGACACAAAACAACAACAACAACTCGCATTTATTTACACAGCGCCCCTCGCGCAGGACAGCGTCCCAGAGCGCATAATACTGCGTGAAATAATAATAATAATCCTCGCATTTGATGACACAGCGCCTCAAGGAATTATCACCCCCAGAAAAGCGACCCGCCAGTCGACTTAACAACCAGGTTCCTGCTTACTGTTAGGTGAACAGAGGCGTGTGGAGTAAGGAAACTTGCCCAACATTTCGCCCGGGACTCAGACTCAGGTTCTTTCCCTTGCGAGGCGATTGCTCTATAACCACTGAGCTACAGGGCTCCAGAAATGCCGGTAACTCCGTCCTTCGCGTCAGCAGTTTATAATAAAAAGATTATTCCTGACTGCACTGCGACCCTCAGGTTTTTAACCGAGAACTGACACGGGATGGGAAACCGGCCGCTCCTTCGCTCACCTGGACTGAAGGTGGTCTCGATTCTTTCTCCCTGGTCCTGACTGAAGATCGGGATCAGCCGTCCTCGTTGGATCACTCTCCTGATAAGAAGCCGGGAATCGTATGTGCTGCTGTCTCCCACCGCTCCACCCCTATTTGCCTCCGCTTCTCAAATCCATTCGCTACCAAGAGCTCAGGAACAGCAGCCTCTCCCTTTGATGCCGGGTGGAAGCGGGCGACACGCTGAGAGATTTTTTTATAGTTAAATGTCAAACTTCAAAAAATATCACTCTACGGATCTCTGTTTATTTCTAATCCCCTTTTGTCCCAAAATAAACCGTCCTTCGGGCTCTGGAACTGCTGATCTTCAGAGAGGCTGACGTTCTCTTAGCTTTGTTCCTAATTTGGCCGCTCCACCCGCGTCGGTTTGCGCGCCGTTGGCTGCTGCGATTCGCCCACAGTCACTACACTTTGCCGTTCACGCGCCCGTCGCGAAGCGCTTCGAGACAGGATCTGAACGACGTGATAAGTGGAGTCCTGTAGCTCAGGGGTTGTGCGCAATTGGCTGCCGCGTTCGCTCACAAATATACAGTCAATTCACTTTACAGTGTGTTCTGTGAAGCGCTTTGGGACGTCCTCCCGACGTGAAAAGCGCTATATCAAATGCAAAGGATTATTATTATTATTATTGTTATTGTTAATTCTGAGCGATGCGATGGTTTGTGGCTTTCAGTGCATTGTCAACCGAGGGGGGCGGGGCGAGGTGACGTAGGGGGGTGGGGCTGTGTTGGATGACGCCTAGATAGGGGCGGGGCAGCATTGGGTGACACTCAGGAGGCGGGGCCTGCATTGGGCGACACCCGGAGGGGGGCGGGGCTGCATCGGGTGACGACGGAGGGGCGGGGTGAAGTTGGCTGACGCGGAAGGGCGGAGCGAGATGACGTGACAGGGCGGGCTGGGCGGAGCGAGATGACGCGGCAGGGCGGGCTGGGCGGAGCGAGATGACGCGGCAGGGTGGGCGGGTCTGGACCGGCTGACGCGTGGAGACCGAGCTGCGGCCCTGACGGTGAGTGAAGCCTCGGGGTCGGGCTGGGAGCCGGGCCCGGGATTGGGGGGGGGGGGGGGGGGGGGTGAAGGCCGCCCACACCCGGGGGGTGGGGTTAGAGACACAGTGGATCTGGTTACGAAGCTGTAGTCATAAACAACAACGGCGACGACGACAACAACAACATCAACCCCGGCCTTTGACCCCCCCCCCCCTGGCGCCTGGGTCACGTGGTCGAGGCGCCTCAAAGCGCTTCCCAGAGAATACGCCGTCAAGTGTAGTGACTGTGGGCTCGGCGCGCGGTGGCGGTGGTGGTGGGGGGGCGCTTCCCTGCTGATGACTTGGGTTTACCCGAACGGCGCAGACGGGACGAGGGGCTGTGGGTAACGCTCCCCCATTCCCCCCCCCCCCCCCCCACCCCGAGGGGGACCACAGGGAGATGTTTTGGTGACTCTCCTCTCTTTCCCCCCCCCCCCACCCCCCGCCAGCCCCGGTCAGAGCCGACCGAGCGTCCTTCCCCCCCCCAACCCCCATCTCCTCTCCCTCTCTCTCTCTCTGGGCAGATGGCGGAGTCCGCCCGGTCGATCGCCCTGGGCGCCGTTCTCAAGAGGAGCGAGGCCATTCCTGAGGGGACCCCGCAGGTCAGAGGCTACGACTTTAACAAGGGGCTCGATTACCCGGCGCTGCTGCAGTCGTACCTGACGACTGGTTACCAAGCCACCAATTTGGGACTGGCCGTGGAACAGATCAACGCCATGGTAAAGCCCAGTGTCGGTATATACACACATATATATATATATTATACGTTATATAATACGCGCATTTGATACGGCGCCTTCTCACGTCGTCGAGACGTCTCAAAGCGCTTCACAGGATACACTGTAAAGTGAATTGACCGTACATTTGTGTGGGCGAAACGCGGCAGCCGATTGCGCACAGCAGCGTCCCCCACAGACTTGAAGTGACCGAGGTATTGTTCGTATTTTTTTTTGTGAAGAGATTATTACCCCCCGGGAAAAGCGATCCGCCAATCGACTAACGACCGGGTTCCTACTTACTGCTCGGCAAACGAACGGAGGCGTGTGCGTCCGTGGAGTAAGGAAACTTGCCCAACGTTTCGCCCAGACCTGCCCGGGCATCGAGCCCAGGTCTTTCGCTTGTGAGGCGAACGCTCTAACCGATGGGCTCCAGGATTCTATGGGCAGAATATCAGTGTCTGGGTTATATAGTGGTTTTGGAGGAGAGACCACACTGAAATATTGCTGTGCTTACAGATCGAGGCTAAGCTGGAGCCACTGGATGATTGCGACAACCCAAATAATCTGAACCCGTGTCAGAGAGATAAGACAGGCTGCACCATCTTTCTGGGCTACACATCGAACCTCATCAGCTCCGGCATCAGGGAGACCATTCGCTATCTCGTCCAGCACAACATGGTACTGTGTGTGTGTGTGTATATATATACAGTGCGCCTGACACCTCTGATCCCAGTACAATATAAAATAACATTTACACAGCGCCTTTCACATCAGGAGGACATCCCAAGACTCTGGACAGTCGGGGGTTTGCACTTGAGCTGGGGGTTGGGATCAGGGAGGGTTGGAGGGTGGGAGTAGGAGGGTGGCCGAAGGCACGGTCGAAGAGGAGTGTCTTGAGATTGCCTTGATGGAGGCAAGGGAGGGAGCGGGGTGAAGGGAATGTGGGCTGGAGTTCCAAAGGGTACGGGCGGAGAAGCTGAAGGCTCGAGGGTTGATGATGTGGAGGGCCAGGCGGGGGACGTGGAGCCTGCTGAGCGGAGGGAGCGGACGGGTTGATATAGGTCACAGTAGCTGCTCACTCATGCTCCTTACCTGCAGGTTGACTGTGTGGTGACCACGGCTGGTGGGATCGAGGAGGATTTCATTAAGTGTCTCGCTCCGACATTCCTGGGGGATTTCAGCCTGAAGGGTAAAGATCTCCGACAGAGTGGGATTAACAGGTGCCTCGAATTCTCCTGCACTTTGACACGTTCTCACCATCGTTTCTTCAGTGAAAGTGATGAATGACTGACGTTAGAAGTGTGTTAGTACGACAACAGACATTCGTATAGTGCCTTTCACGTCGGGAGCACGTCCCAAGGTGCTGGACAGTCAGGTAGGGTAGCATCCCAGAGCGCTCGACAGTGGCGGAGCACGTCCCCGAGCCGGGGGGAGGGAAGGAGGAGGTGACCGTAGATACGATACGGTCGAAGAGGAAGGTCTTCAGGCGCGACCTGAAGATGAGGAAGGAAGGAAGGGGCAAAGTGGATAGGTTCCAGAGTTTCGGCTGAAAGCTCGGCCGCCTTATACTGTGAAGCACTTTGAGACGTCTCGAAGACGCGATGAGGCACTGTATCAAATGCAAGGATTATTATATATAATCCGCGATCTTTCCACAGAATTGGAAATCTGCTGGTTCCTAACGACAACTACTGCAAGTTCGAGGATTGGGTGACTCCGATCCTGGATCAGATGCTTCTGGAGCAGAAGCAGCAGGTGAGGTAGGACAGGATCGCAGCAGATCTCATTCTCCTCCAGATTCAACCTTTTCCTAATGCTTGAGCTCCTCCATTTTCATTTTTCTGTTTAGGGAACCAAGTGGACTCCCTCCAAAATGATCGCTCGGTTGGGGAAAGAAATCGACAATCCCGAGTCTGTCTATTATTGGACCTATAAGGTAACAATGCTGCCTTCACCACACATGTACACTTGCACCTTCAAGCATGGGACACTAGCTACCAATCAACAACAACTTGCATTTATATAGCAAGCTAGCGTCCTGGAGCGCTTCACAGTGGCGGAGTCTGATCCTGAGCCGGGGGGGGTGGGGGCCGGGGGGGAAAGGGAAGAAGGGGGGAGGTGACCCTAAGCACAATCGAAAAGGAAGGTCTTTAGGCGTGATTTGAAGGTGGGGAGGGAGGGAAGGGGGAGGGATTGAGGGAGCGAGTGACTGAGTTTCGGGGCGTAGTGCAGTGGCTGAAGGCACGGCCACCGATGGTGGAACGGAGGGCACGAGGGAAAAATAGGAGTGGAAATGGCTGCTTTTCCTTAACCCTGAGGGTTGCTCAGCTCAATGGTAGCTCTCCAGGTGTGCCTCCAACTGAGATGAGTCACTCATTGTAGAGCAGGTGGGAAACCTGCATGGTTCAGTGCTTATACCAGGTGAGTCTTTTACCTGGCCTCACCTCAAAAAGGGTGCACGTGACAATTCGCTGCCCCGTTTTGCCCACAAAATATACAGTCACTACACTTTACAGTATATTCTGTGAAGAGCTTAGAGACGTCTCAAAGACATGGTAAGGCGCTATATCAATGCAAGTATTATTATGACGAGCTGAACAATTAATCACAGGGTGCTTCTCGGGCCGTCGGTGAATGAAGACTTACGCAATCAGTATAAGAAAGAGGATTCTTTTTATACAATTCTGATACGTTAATAATATTCATAATAAAATTACTTGACGTGAAGAAGTAGAGGGACGGGGCCCCACAGGCAGGTCAATCGCGATCACTTTTACTGGTTTGTGTTACAGAATAACATTCCTGTCTTCAGTCCAGCCCTAACTGACGGTTCCCTGGGAGACATGATCTACTTCCACTCTTACAAGAACCCTGGCTTGGTGCTGGACATTGTGGAAGGTGAGGCGAAGGAGAATTGCGATGTTCTCCACTTGTGTGACATGCGGTCGCCAATTGGTTCTGTCTATTGTGGAGTCTTGTAGCTCAGTGGTTACAGCAACCGAGAGGACCTGGGTTTGATTCCCGGGCGGGTCAGGTCAGGGCGAAACATTGGGCAAGTTTCCTTACTCACACACACGCCTCTGTTTACCCAGCATGAAGTAGGAACCCGGTTGTTAGTCTGTTGGCGGATCGCTTTTCCAGGGATAATAATTCCTTTGACAAAATAATGTGGTCACTCAATCCACGACTGTTTGCGGGGACGCTGCTGTGCACAGTCGGCTGCTGTGTTTCGCCCACAAAACGCAGTCAATACACTTTACAACATATCCCTTGACACGTCTCGACGATGTGAAATGTCGTGATATCAAAGGCAAGGATCATCATTATTATAGCCATATAATATAGCTGATCGCTCCAATGATTTCCTCGTCCAATCGATGTTCCCCTTTGTTAAAAACCCAGATATCCAGAGGATGAACAGCCAGGCCGTGTTTGCCAAGCGGACGGGAATGATCATTCTCGGGGGTGGTGTGGTGAAACATCACATTTCCAACGCTAACCTGATGGTAAGTGTCCGTTTGCCTGGGTCTGTGTGCGTGTGCTGCTTCTGATCGAACTTACTCACAGGTTGGTCACTCACTCAATCCACCACCGTTTGTGGGGACGCTGCTGTGCGCAATTGGGAGCTGGGTTCGATTCCAGGCAGAGGGCGAAACCTTGAGCAAGTTTCCTTACTCCACACGCCTGATAATAATCCCTCAAGAAAAAAATACAATTATTTGGTCACTCGACCCACGACTATGTGTGAGACGCTGCTGTGCGCAATTGGCTGCCGCATTTCGCCCACAAAATACAGTCAATTCACTTTACAGTATATTCTGTGAAGCGCTTTGAGACGTCTCGAAGACGTGATAAGGCGCTGTGTCAAATTGATCCCCTTGTTCTCCACTCTCCCCTGAGCAGCGCAATGGTGCAGACTATGCCGTGTACGTGAACACAGCTCATGAATTCGATGGGTCGGACTCGGGAGCTAAGCCGGATGAAGCGGTTTCCTGGGGTAAAATCCGTATGGACGCCAAGCCCGTGAAGGTGAATGACAGGGAATTCAGCAGTGTGTTGGGAGGGGGAGTGAGGAGCTATGGATGAGCGTTAACCACTAATCCTGTAGCTCAGTGGATAGAGCACTCACCTCGCAAGCGAGAGATCTGGGTTTGGTTCCCGGGCGGGTCAGGGTGAAACCTTGGACAAGTATCCTTACTCCACACACGCGCACGCACGTGCGCCTCTGTTACTAGGAAGTAGGAACCTGGTTGTTAGTCGATGGGTGGATCGCTTTTCCGGGGCTAATAAGCCCTTCAAAAACAAAAAATAATTTGGTCACTCACACAACCCACGACCGTTTGTGGGGACGCTGCTGCGTGCAATTGACTGCCGCGTTTCGCCCACAAAACACACAGTCAATTGACTTTACGGGACATCCCGTGAAGTGAAGCGCTTTGAGCCGTCTCGAAGACCCGATGAGGCGCTGTATCGAATGCGAGGATTATTATTATTTATTATTATTTACTTCTGTGTTGGGACAGGTCTCCGCCGACGCCACCCTTGTTTTCCCTCTACTGGTCGCCGAGACATTTGCCAGAAAGTTCCACAAATTGGTGCCTGGATCGAAGATAGAGTGAGCTGCACCCTGGTGTCTGTGACCCGGACGCAGAAGGAGAGGCAACCTCCTGCAAGGTCAAAGGAGTCGGACAAAGAGGAGTCCTGCAGCTCCTCGGAACTGCATTTGACTTGGCTGGTTATAGTCGATTTGCTGCTGGGCTGTTTGAGGGACAGGTCGAGGCGCCCTTTATTTATTTCACTCTCCCTCCTTACTGTGGTCCTCGCCATTTACTCTCAGGAATTTAGTTTAGCATATGACTACTTTAACCGCATTTACTGTCCATCTGAAATGTCGGCTGCTTGCGGGACTTGAATTAAAGCAGATTCTTCCCACGCTCAGTTTCAGACAGTTCAACAACAACACAACACGTAGCACCTCTCAAGTTGGTTGGGAGGACATAGCTAAGGAAGGTCCCGGGACCTGATGTTGGTCGAGGCGGGCTCCGTTAAAAGGGCTTCACAGCGGCATCTCGGCCTCTGGGTCGAAGGACTCGTCTCGCCAGACCTGGACGCTGCCCTCGGTCGCTGTCAGTAGGCACGGTTCTGTCGGGTGGTGGGACAGTGATTGCACCACACCCTTTCCAACTGGGATGGTCGCAGCCAGCGAGCCCTGGCAAAGCAAATCAAGTCAGTCAGACCTATTCAGTGAATTTCACCCACAAAACACACAGTCAATTCACTTTACAGAGCATCCTGTGAAGCACTTTGAGACGTCTTGAAGGTGTGGTAAGCCGCTGCATCAAATGCAAGGATTATTATTATTATTTATTATTATTACGTCCTGCCCCATTTCCTCCCCCCCCACTTTCCCTCCCGGCTGGGGTTATAAATGGCCTCGGCACCCTTGTCCTGAGGTTTAGGGGGAAGAGAGAATTAGCCAGGATCTCCCATTATCTCACCCCCCCCCACAACCACTCACACAGGGACACACTCACCTCACCCACCCCCCCCTCAAACACACACACACACACATATACACAGACCCACAAACACAGACACCTGGTAATGAAAGGCATGCCCTCACCTCAATCAGATCCCAGATGTAAACACTGCCATCTTCTGAGGCGCTGAGCACGTGGGTGTCGCTGTGGTTCAGACAGCAGTCCAGCTTGTATTCTTTGTTCTGATGTCCCTTGTATCTGAGGAGACGGAGAGGCAAGACAGTCAGATTCTCCAGTAGATAAAGCTCTGCCGCTGAAAACACTGACGGTAACAGCACAGTCCGAACCTAGTCACCGCGGAATGGGCAAAGCTGTGTATGTGTGGTGCGTATGTGTGGTGTGCGTATGTGTGGGCACTTACTCTCCCAGTAGCTCCCCAGTCTCCTTATCAAGTAGCCGGAGTGTGGAGTCCAGGCTGGAGATCAGTGTACACTGGCCGTCTTTACTGAAACAAACGCTTGTTATGGGGCCTGTGAGAGAGGGTAGAGCTTGTTAGTTCCTCGCTGTGTGCTGAAGTGCAGTGAACAGATGCAAGAGGCGCTACACAGTCACTACACTTTACAGTATATTCTGTGACGCTCTTTAATAATAAGCAGTAATAATAATAATAATAATAATCCTTGCATTTGATATAGCGCTTTTCAGCCTTCTATAGTATTGAGACGTCTCGAAGACGTGATAAAGCGCAGTGTCATATGCGAGGATTATAATTATTTATTATGTAATATTACAGTTGGTACTTACTAGCGACGTAATCTGTGAGGAGTCGGCCGACACGCAGGTCATATCGCCTCACCCGCCCGTCCACAGACCTGAAACACAAGTATCATCCATCACCGAAGGCCCCCGAAGACGAGTGCGCGCGTGCTGCACTGCGCTGTTTGTTGTTCCGCGCCACTGACCCCGAGAGAATTTCGTGGTCTGAAACCTTCACGCTGGAGATGCCGTCATTCGCTTCGTCCATAACTTGGACGGGGTCTGGCTTCCGGGAGCGACAATCCCAACATCGAATGGAGGAGTCGATGGAACCTGGAGTTAGATACGAGGTGACTTAAATAATAATCCGTGCATTTTCGAGACGCCTCAAAGCGCTTCACAGGAATATACTGTCAAGTGTAGTGACTGTGTATTTTGTGGGGCGAAACACGGTAGCCCCACAAAATACAAACTGGATGGATCTTGGTCTTTCTTTCCTCCAGCATTTCTGAGGTGGCTCTATAATACTCTCACTCAATCCCTTTGCCTTGCCCCATCTCTCCTCTCGTTGAAGTCCCGCCTGAAAACTTTCCTCTTCGACCGAGCTTACGGCCACCTCTCCCCCTCCCACCGGCTGGGAATCGGGCTCTGCCACAGTTAAGCGCTCTGAGGTGGTACCCTGCGTGGAGGGCGCGGTATAAGTGCAAGTTGTTGCTGTCTAATCTGTGTGGTGCTTTCAATGCCCCTATGCTACAGAGGAGGAATTAAATCTGCCAGGGTTGAAAAGTCTATCTGGAGACCTGCTGGAAAGTAGGATTGAGGGCAGTGGATAAAGATAGGAACATCAGTGAGATGTCCCATTGAGACATCAGCCTACATCTCGACTTCACATTTCATTTCTCTCTCACCTGAGACAATGACAGTGGACGCCTCGTTGAATTCTACACAGTTTACTTTCTGTGAAGGCAAAACCAAGGCGAGTGGTCAATGCTTATCTTAATAATAATAATAATCCTTGCATTTGATACAGTGCCTTATCGCGTCTTCGAGACGTCTCAAAGGCTTCACAGAATACACTGTCAAGTGAACTGACTGTATATTTTGTGGGCAAAACATGGCAGCCAATCGCGCACAGCGGCGTCTCACAAACAGTCGTGGATTGAGCGACCAGATTATTATTTTTTTTTTATTTCATTTTTTTGAAGGGATTGTTACCCCCGGAAAAGCGATCCGCTAATCGACTAACAACCGGGTTCCTACTTACTGCCGGGTAAACAGAGGAGTGTGTGTTGAGTAAGGAAACTTGCCCAACGTTTCGCCCTGCCCGAGAATCAAACCCAGGTGCTCTAACCACTGAGCTACAGGTCTCCAGGATAACAATCAGCGAGCGGATAGCGCATTACGAAGCGATGTCCTCTTACTCCTGCGTGACCTCGGAATTTGCGCATCAGCTGTCCTGTTGCCACGTCCCAGAGGATGATGGTTTTATCAGCTCCGCACGAGCAGATCTGGCTGTTATCACAGGATCTGTGCAAAGCAATGGATAAAGCAGCAATGAATTATCCTTTCACAGTTCCATCCTGATTTCTGGTACTCCTGAAAGTTTAATATCCAAAGTGCTCTGACAGTGGAGCACTCCATCAACACTGCACGACAGATAGAGTTCACTCTGGAACCGTACACCGCAATTCCTCCGGCTCACCCCCTCTCTTGCCTCTTTCAAGTTCCGCCTTCAGCCACCCTCCCACCCCCAGCGCCCTCCACCCTTCCTGACCCCAACTCCCAGCTCGGGTCCAAAAAACCCTACACAAGAGTCATTTGTAAGGCAGATCGTTGTCAGTGATGTAAACACCACACTTTAAAGAACCAGCACACAATCAAAGTGTCCGAGGACGTACCCGGCAGCGTCCAGCACCTCGTAGCCATGACCAGCGTACGTCTTCAGCAATGTTCCTTTGTGCGGATTCCACAGCTTCAGTGACTTGTTACTGCCACATGTTAGGCAGTAATTGCCATCCACTGAGGTGCGGGGAGAGAGAGAGAGAGAAACACAACAATAATAATCGTATGATAATAATAATCCTTGCATTTGATGCAGCGCCTTATCGCATCTTCAAGGCATCTCAAAACGCTTCACAGAGTATAGCTGAAAAAGTGTAGTGACTGTGTGATTCATGGGCGAAACACGTCAGCCAATTGCGCACAGCAGCGTCCCACAAGCAGTCGCGGAATGAGTGGCTGAATCCCCCAACTCCGATGGTGGGGAGGAGGGCGTGAGGGACGAGCAGGAGGCCGGTCGAGCGGAGGTGGATCGGGGAGTGAGGAGGTGGGAGAGGGAGGGAGGGAGTTGCCAGGGAGTGAAGGGATTTGAACACGAGTGTGAGGATCGTGAATTAGATCCATTTGGGCCGGAACCCCGTGAAATGCGGGGACGCAGTTTGGT